GATTGTTTTCTGCTTATTAATAAATTAGCAATTTATTATATTAGTATTAATAGTTAATTGGCTTAACTTCCATTTAAACTTTTTCTTACTTTTAAGTTTAAAATATAAGATCTAAATTAGTCATAAAAACTCTATTTTTTATAGGTTCATCTTTATCTTAATTTTATATTGCCAGATTAATTAGATTTGTAATAATTTCACTAAATTAACTTTAGAGAATGCTAATGATACAATATAATTTTATAAGTAACTAAATTTATAAATCCTGACTTCTAAGAAATTAGGCTAATAATTCATCTAAATTTGGTGTGTGAAAAGGGGTTGTTAATTTTTCAATAATTCCATAATTAGGATTCAATATAAGTTATTTATTACCATTACTTAAAATTTTAACTTCTAAGTGTTCTAAATATTATAGCTTATCTATAAATAATTCTTTATCACAATTATTTTCAAGAATATCTTCAAATATAGAAATATTACTATCAAATTTTATCACACTTCCTATTCTAATAATAAGCTTTATAAATTGATTACTACCATTAGTATATATAATTTACGTTTATAAGCTTAAAATTAATTATAATTAATTCAAGCATGTCATTAATTAAGAAACACATTAGTTTTCAATAATTATGTTTTCTTCCTTTATCTTCTATACTATCTATTCTATTTTTTATTTTTTAATAGGTGATTATAATTTTGTTTAGAATTGCTAATTTATTTGCAATAAATTTAACATTTTAATATTATTATCAAATATGAGTTGCTTTCTTAACTCCCAATCTAGGCTTTTAGATCTATTAGTATGGATCTACTTATCTTTTATTGAAATCTATTGGCTTATCGACTGGTACAATCCTTGGTTCTGGGACTTCAATTGGTGGAAATGATCTGGATATCTCCATTTAATGTCTAGGATATATATTAGTCTTAAATAAATTCTCATTCCAACCACCTTAGATTGATGGTGTAAGTGTTGTCACTTTTCTTCCAGCATGTCTTACACTTTATGAACCAACTGTGAAATATTAATATATTATACATGAATTTCTTAACAATGCAATTCTATCCAAAATTTCTTGATCTTCTTCCAATCCTTTTAAAGATATTTATTTCTAATATCCATTCACATAAATTCCGTTTAAATATGGGTGAGTATTTTTTTTCATAAAAATTTGAAAGTTTATTTTAGGTTGATTTAATAAAGGGTGCTAAATTAGAGTTGGTAGGAAATGTCTAATTTTTGATGAGCTACCTCCATAATCACAATAAAATATTTGAAGGAATTTTAATTAAAATATGCCTCTTGAACACATTTATTTTTATTTAATTTTTTAATATATATATTTATATAAAAGATAATAAGTAATATTAAACAAATAGTTAATATCTATATTGAATAATAATAAATAAAATATTATGATTATTTTAATCTATTTAAACATCTAATTTACGATTTATCATAAATTTATCATAAATCATAAATGATAAAATTTTATTATTAATTATTTTCTTAATCGATATGTAAATATCAATTTGTTGACTTATATTAATTATATAGATATTTTATCATTAAGTAACATTTAATTAATGTTTATTAAATAAAAAGTATTTTCTATTTAATAATTACAATATATATATATATAAATTATCATCATGTTTAAATAGACAAGAATTTATTTATAAATTGAGCTACTTAATTGTTTTCTTCTAAACACAATAAAATTTATCATTTTTATATGATAATTATAGTTCACATAAAATTAGAAATCAATTATCTAGAATATTTAATTGATAATTTTTGGATTGTTATATTTAATTTCAAAATAGTTAAGTTTACTTTTGATGATAATTGTGAATAATACACCAAAACGATAAAAAACTTAAGATTCAGATTTAATAGACTCTCTTATCATAGTTGAAGATTCAAATTTTAAGGAAAATTAAGTTGAATATTAAAATAATCTTAAACTTAGAAATGTAGAACTTTAATAATTAAGATAAAAAAATACAAAAAATCAAACTTTATTAATATCAACATAATCATAATCTTTATAATAATAATAGATTTGCTCTAAAAGAGGATCTTTAGCTGACTTGCATTCTAATTTGCCATTTTCTTAAACTTATTTGGGTTAAATGTAAAATAGAAAGAAAAGGGAACCTACTAATTTGAGATTGAATGAATTGTAATAAATAAGAAGATATGAATCTTTGGAAAACTTAATTCAATAACCTACAAATAGAAATTATTTAAAAACTTAAAATGATTATACATCTAGAAATAAAGACAACTTTTATTTCAACGCCTAATAAGTTCAAATATAACAATTAATAAAAACTTTAGGGAGCAAAAGATATTGAATTAAGTTTCTATGTAGTATTAGATATTTATCATGCAATTATCTTATTTATACTTTTGTTAATTATCAATTCAGTTAAATTATCTTAGTTTTTACATAAATAACATATCAATTGAACTCTTTATAATAATTTATTATTATATTCTATCGAAAGTCATCTCTTTTTCTACAATAATATTATTTTATGTATAATCAATACTTAAATATTTTAATTATGAAAACTGATTATATGTATAAATATTATATTTTTAAATTTAAGTTTTGTATTGACTTCTAATTATGGATGATTATTGTGATGATGAATATTATTCAGGAATAGAAGAATATGAAAATGATAATTACTAAAAAAATGAAACGTTATTAAGTTAGAATGAACTTTATTAAGAATTTTTAGATAGACTTGAAAAAATCAAAGATAAGATTGGTGAATAATCTTAGGTTGTTTTGAATGTAATTAAATAACAATATTAAGATATTAATCTTTTTCAATTTTGAAGTTTAAAATATTTATGAGTAATTGTTGCTTAGCAATGATTCAGAAAAATTAAAAGTTTAGCTAAAAGAATAAGGTATTTATAATGTATCTGATGTACATTTTCATTAAAATATGATTTGTTCAATATGTCTAGAGAATGAGACTTAAGGATTTAGTTTAGATTGCAATCATAAATTTTGTAAGAATTGTTGGAATCAAATGATAGAAGTCTAATTCATAAGTTAAATACCTTTAGTAAGATGTTTATAGGATTAATGTTATGAAAGATTGCCTCATTCATTTTTAGAATAGTATCCTAAATATAAGTAAATAATAATAAAGAGATTTATGTAACATGATGATGTAATTACTTGGTGTCCAGGTAAATTTTAATATTATAATTATAGGTTTAAATTGTGAAAATGTATTTAAGTGTTTGACTTTTAGTAAATCAATAAAATGTCCTTGTGGAGTCAAATTTTGTTCCAAATGTAGAGAAGAGAAACATCATCCAATTCCATGTGACATTTTAAAAAAGGTTTTAGAATATTAATAGTCAAATGAATATTGGGCAATTTTACATGCTTCTAAGTGTCCTTAATGTGGAAGATTAATTTAACGAACTGAAGGTTGTTTTCATTTAAAATGTTTATGTGGATAGCATTTCTGTTTTAAATGTTCTGGACCTTGGGAAAAAGATCATCAAAGTAGTTTTTATACATGTCCCTATATGAATACAAATAAAAATCCATCTAAATATGCTTTATAATTAAAAAATGAATTATAGAGTATTAATAATAATATTAGAATTATTGAATAGTCCATAAAGGAATTGAAATAGAAAATTAAAAAGGTTTAATTAGATCCACTTATAGAATAATCAGAGAAAATCATATAGCTTTTGAAAACATCGAAATCGTACTATATCATATATACAATTAGATTTTTATATTATAAATTTTATTTAATGGAAAACAAAGATGTTTAAATTTATGAATAAACTTTCCATTAATTTTAGGAGGAATTGAATAAATTTGTAAAAATAATTGAAAGTAAAAAATTGGAAGTTGAAGATAATGAATATTCAATAGACAGAATAATTATTGAATTCATTAATTTTAATAATTCAGAAAAAAAAATATTATCAAATTTAAAAATCAAAAAAAAATAAATTAAAAAATATATAGTAGAGACTTTAATAATGTGAGAATTAGTTTTAGAATGAGTTTACAAAATTTATTTGTTGTTATATTTTTATATTTTGATCACTTTTTAAATATATTTAAATAAGTATTTCTTTATTGTTATCTTTACAATTTGTATAAATCTATTTATCAGAATATAAATTCTTATTTATTTATTTATTTATACTTAAATTCATAATATATTTATTAATGATTTTTATTATGTAATACACAACATTATAAATTTCAGTAATTATCTTTTTCAATAAAACAAAATTAATTTAATAGATGTACAAAAAGCCCTCTTTACTTAATTTAACTCCAATATCTATTCTTAAATCTAAAAATTAAGCAAAGAATAAATCTTTTTGTCCATCAACTTTTTTAAATGAAATTGATAGTTTTCCACAATAATTTGATGGAGATTTCAAGAATCAACAACCACTTGAATTATAAAACCCTCTTGAACTTGTTATTCCTAAAACAGTTCGAAGAAGGTATGCACTTGGAAATTAAATATTTTCATAAAAATTAGATTAGGTATTACCAAATTTACCTAATCTCTCTAAAAATACAAGTATGTTAAAATCAAATTTTGATGAAATAATTTAAATATAAGAAGTTTAAACTTAAAGATAATCTACAGAACTTGAGTTAATAAATCGAAAAATAAAGTCAATCCTCAATAGTAATAAGAGATAGGTAACTTTTTAAACTTCTCATGTTATTGTTGATAAATATGATAATTCATAGGTTGTTTAAGATTTGCCTACAATTAGAAAATCGATTCCAAAAAGGAGATCACATTTTAAACATATTACAACTGAAATTTGAATAAAGTATATTGGAGCATGAAATAATATTAATATCTTTNCACTTATAGAATAATCAGAGAAAATCATATAGCTTTTGAAAACATCGAAATCGTACTATATCATATATACAATTAGATTTTTATATTATAAATTTTATTTAATGGAAAACAAAGATGTTTAAATTTATGAATAAACTTTCCATTAATTTTAGGAGGAATTGAATAAATTTGTAAAAATAATTGAAAGTAAAAAATTGGAAGTTGAAGATAATGAATATTCAATAGACAGAATAATTATTGAATTCATTAATTTTAATAATTCAGAAAAAAAAATATTATCAAATTTAAAAATCAAAAAAAAATAAATTAAAAAATATATAGTAGAGACTTTAATAATGTGAGAATTAGTTTTAGAATGAGTTTACAAAATTTATTTGTTGTTATATTTTTATATTTTGATCACTTTTTAAATATATTTAAATAAGTATTTCTTTATTGTTATCTTTACAATTTGTATAAATCTATTTATCAGAATATAAATTCTTATTTATTTATTTATTTATACTTAAATTCATAATATATTTATTAATGATTTTTATTATGTAATACACAACATTATAAATTTCAGTAATTATCTTTTTCAATAAAACAAAATTAATTTAATAGATGTACAAAAAGCCCTCTTTACTTAATTTAACTCCAATATCTATTCTTAAATCTAAAAATTAAGCAAAGAATAAATCTTTTTGTCCATCAACTTTTTTAAATGAAATTGATAGTTTTCCACAATAATTTGATGGAGATTTCAAGAATCAACAACCACTTGAATTATAAAACCCTCTTGAACTTGTTATTCCTAAAACAGTTCGAAGAAGGTATGCACTTGGAAATTAAATATTTTCATAAAAATTAGATTAGGTATTACCAAATTTACCTAATCTCTCTAAAAATACAAGTATGTTAAAATCAAATTTTGATGAAATAATTTAAATATAAGAAGTTTAAACTTAAAGATAATCTACAGAACTTGAGTTAATAAATCGAAAAATAAAGTCAATCCTCAATAGTAATAAGAGATAGGTAACTTTTTAAACTTCTCATGTTATTGTTGATAAATATGATAATTCATAGGTTGTTTAAGATTTGCCTACAATTAGAAAATCGATTCCAAAAAGGAGATCACATTTTAAACATATTACAACTGAAATTTGAATAAAGTATATTGGAGCATGAAATAATATTAATATCTTTCTAATACAATATATATATTATTATATAAGTAAATAAATATGTAAATAGATAGAATTCCATTATTTATATTAAGATTCTCCATCTATAGATTAAGTTTAATTATTTTCAATTAAAAAAAGTTTAATAACTATAAAAATTGCAATCCTAATGTATTTAAAACAATATTCTATAGTTATATAAGAAATATTTATAAATTCAAACTTTAAATATATAATTATATTTTTATTAGTAGACGATTCATTTATGTCTAATCAGAATATATTGATATGATTATAATTATATATTAATTATCTAAAAAGATTAATAATATAATTGGTATATATAAATATAATGGTTGTGGTTATGGGATAAATAATAATATAATTTTAAATAAATGGGCAACTCTCATAATCAAATATCCGAACATGGAGCTATTGCAATAAGAACAGAAAAACCATTTTACTTTGCAGGTGACTTGGTTAGAGGTTAATAATTTATTGTAATTTTAGGTAATATCTTTTTGAACATTTGCAAAGCAGGTTATTAAGGAAATATTATTCAATTTACTATTATAGGAAAAGAAAAAACTGAATGGGATGAGGGGAGTGGTGAGGATTAGAGAACTTATAGAGGGAAAAACAAATTCTATTCCTAAACAGTACCCATTTACACATTCTAAAATTAAGTAGCTTAAATTGGATAATATGTTTTTCCTTTTTAATTTTAATTACATCCTCATCTTCCTGGTTCATTCTACTAAAAAAATCATGGTGATTATGGCTATATATATTACTAAGTTAAAGCGAAATTTACAACAACATAACCAAACAAACCAAATATTAGAAATAAATAAGAATTCATTGTTAGAGAACCTATAAAGTAAATGGTGATTAGTTAAGAGTAGGAAAGAACTGCTAATTTATCTATTTGTTGTTGTATTAATAAAGGAGTACTTATTAGATTATAATTTAATAGAGTTCAAGAGTTAAGAGTTTCTGTGATAAGAATCATTATTTACCAGGAGATACTGCTTAAATGACTGTTGAAATAGATAATTCTAATTGCAATTTGAATATTGATTATATAGAAATTGAATTACAAAAGGTATTAATATTAAGAGCCAATACTTCATCACATAAATATACCTAAAAGATATTAACTTAAAGAATTCCAGGAGTCTAAGCTAGATCTTAATAAGTTGGTTCCTAAAGTAGAAATATTTAAATAACTCTATTGAATCAAAATAATCCTTAGAATGAATTGACTCCTACAACAAATGGAAAACTTGTTAATCAATAATATTATCTAAAAGTTATTCCAAAATTTGAAGGTAAATTTCATTAATATTTATAAGGTTGTATCTGTTGTTCAGAAAAACCAGTCATATCATTCTAGATAGTTATGTTATATAAGATTCCACCTAATTACATTTAACCACTTCCTTAACCATCTGATTGGAATCCTTAAACATTCGAACCTGTTTTGATTAACTTTGATCAATAGAATAATATGAATATTGCAAACAATAATATGCAATAAAATGATCCTTTTATAAGTAAATGATGACCAAAAAAAATTAACAATTAGAATATTTACAAATTTATTATAATTATTTCACTTTGTAATTCAAAATTCATTTAATTTAAATCAATTAATAATTAATTTTCCTACAAATTTATGAAAAACAAATAAAAACTCATTAAATTTGAACAAAAAATCCAATCATAATCTCTTAAGATTGAAATTGATAATTAGATAAAGAATTCAGAGTAGTTATAAACATTAAAAATAATTTCTTAAAATAATGAAGAATTGATGCCATAAAAGAATAAATTAATTAAATCTGAATTAGAACCAATTGGATTATTGAATTTAAGTTTAGAAAAATCTATAAATATTTAAATTATTAAATCTTGGATAGAGATTTATTTAGGATTAGAAGTCAAAATACTTAATTTATAATTAGCATTATATTATGAAAAGAATGATTTTTACATTTATGATATAGATCATAATCAAACCTATAAATTAGAAAAAGATGATAAAGATATTATAAATGTGTTTAGTATTTTCAAAGTTATGACTCGTGTAAAACCAAAAAATATTTAATCTTTTATTGTAATTGTTGATTAAGATATTTATGATCCATATTAACCAGATGCAAATATTTTAGGAAGAGCAGGAAATCAAAAAGTATGTGTTGTTTAAGTTTAAACAGAACTAAATGATTTTTATAGTACTATAGTTCATGAATTATTACATACATTAGGATTTGGTCATTGTAAAGATTAAGACTGTCTCATGTATGCGAATATTAGTACAAGTATGTAACTTTGTGAAAAACATTTGTAAAAATTATCTAGCAAAAAAGAAGTCGAAGAATTAAAAAGATATAAAGCTCTTTTACATATATCAAAATAAATTGGATTCCATAATGAATGTTAAAAATTAGAAACTTTAATAAAAAAGGTTGAAACTCAAAAGGACACTTTATTGCAAATTACTTGAATTTTTTTAAATAATTTAAATTATCAATTTAATAATTTTAAACTTACAAGTAAAAATTATATCACACATATATCAATAATGACTAAACGATATATTATATAAAATAAAAAAGAATTATTATACTTTGTTCTTTATTCCATTTTATGTAACAATATATTTATTAGTGTTTTGGGTTGCTCCATAAAAATATCATAATCCTTAGGATATATAAGGAGAGGAACACTTTAATTAATATATTTTCTGGTATTAAAACAATATATATATGCTTTAAATTATAAATTGATCTATTGTTAGTTTTCAATAAATTAGTTTCTACTATAATTCAATATTAAAAGTTAATATAGATTAAATTATTCTTCTATTTAATTTTTTCTATTGTAATAATATCTTTTTATTATCCTTCTCTTACCCTATAGCTAAATTTTTCGTTTTATATATATATATTTAAAATGAATTGCCTAAACCAAATCAAAACTATAGTAATAATTAGTAAGTAAAATCTCATATTGTTATTCTAAAATTATAGTATTTATAGTAAGAAAAATATCAATAATTTTACATATATGATGTTTATAATAATCTATCACTATATTTATTTTATTAGTTCAGCCAAAGGAATATAATTAAATAATTACGAAAACAATTGAATACATCTTATCTATAAAGAATTGATTTATTTAATATATCACTATTTAAAATATTAGTATTAAATTCATTAAATTTATATGCATAGTGATTTAAATTTACGGTCATTCTATGCAGGAGACTCTTAAAAAGATAATCAATTGATATAATTATTGATCACTTGTATTGAAGGTAATTAAAACGTGATTTACAATTAGAAAATTATCATAATGTTGCTATTTCAAATTATGTGAAAGATTAATAAATAACAAAGTAAAATGCTTCCTCTTTTAAACCTTACACTGAGGAATTCTTATTATAGAAATAATAGCAAAGTCCAAACATATCATAATTCACAGGAAAAATTAAATAATATTCAAGACTCACTCTTGAAGCTAGCGATACAAAATTCTTAGGTTCGATTAAATAAGATAATCAATTTTTATAAGGTTATGATATTATTGCTATCAAACCAAAGAGTGAAGCTGTATTTATTTATTTATGTACAACTCTAACAGTACAATATCATTTTAATATTGTAGTATTTTGATATTATTACTTTTGATTGTTTTGAAAAGCTTCCATTTATTCCAAAAGCAAAAGTAAGTTCATAACTTTTAGACAAAAATGTTATGTTTGAAATTAATTATGGTGATGCAGTTTAAGATCCTAATAAAAGAAGATAATTCATTTCAAATGCATAAATTATTATCAATGCAACTAAAGGTAGAAATATTATAATGTCTTCTGATACTAATTATTGGCTATATCATAGAAGTCCTTATGATTTAGTAGCATTAGGAATGACAATTGGTTTAAAAAAAGATTAGGCTACTTAAGCAGTTAGTACAAATGCTGATATGGTGATTAAGCATGGCAGTATTAATCTTTTAATTTAGTTCATAGAAAAGCTTGTAAAGGTGTTATTTGTGAAGCTGCTTAATAGGACATTGAATATTTTGAAGCCAAGAAAAAGTAGATCAAAGATAAATAATAAGAGAAAATTAGCAAGAAAATAAAACTATCTTAAGAAGCTTATGCTGTCATTTAAAATGAATAATGATTATTATTTTAAGAATGTATTTTATTTTTATAATAATAATTATTAAAATATAATTATGCTGTCTGCTATGATACCTAAATTTCGATACTATTAAAGATTAAAATAACATATGGTAATAGATCTGCTATACTAAATTAGGAAATAAATCAAAATATTAGAAAAGAAAATGTTGATATTTAGAGAACATATCACAAATATTAAAAACCTTTATGGGCTAAAATGAAATAAAAAGTAGAGGATAATAAAAATAGAATCTATTTATTTTGTGGATTGATATTTCTTTGTTAATTAAAGTTTGCTTATGAAAGTAGATAATTTTAAAAGAGTCTTAGTTTATCTTGCAAGAATTCCTTACAGAAGAATATTATTCAAAAAATTTAAATCCTTTTTCTTAGGATTAGAAAGTGTCTATCCTAAACCAATAGTAGAATAGGTTTTTAATAATGAAGTATCAAAATCAAATAATATTTGAGTTACCATAACAATTAATATAGAAATTTATACAATTTGATGATCAATTACCAATGGGAGTTACTAAGAAATTTATTATACGTTGTCTTACTGAGTGTTAAGTGAACTTATCTAAGGAATAGAAAAGAGAATTCTATTAAAAACATGGTTTTTTATATGGAGTAAATTTGAATATTATATTAGATATATTCAAAAAATAGTGGAATTAATTTAAAGGAACTTAACTATTTTTTAAAGAATCTTAATGTAGATCCATAAAAGTTAATTAATGTATTTGATACATTAAAAGATTAGGTAAAATTAAATAGTTATTATATAAAAATTATAGGAGATTCAATATTAAAATAGAGTTTTGGAGAAGATGAAACAAAAGTAACCATAATATAGTTGCAATACACCTGATGCAATTACAAGGAGAATTTAACCCTATTTTGATACAATATGAATGTGTTATTAATAAATGTTCAATTATAGTTAATATGAGGAGGAAATTAATCATCCTCAATATCGTACAAGAGTGAGATATTAGTAAGTATTAATGCTAATAAAAGGGATACAGGTATCTAACGAAATCTAAATGGATAACTTGATGTGACATGTTTTTTAATGGCTGTAGAAATATAGCGACTGATTGCTGAAAACACAGAACTTAAAATTTCTATAAAGTAGCAGACTGATTGTGGATTAGATAGAATCAATTATGAAATGTAAATAAGAGATCTAATAGAAAAGCTACAATAAATATAGCAGTATATAATATAATCAAGAATAGGGAGAATTATTTGATAGGCAGTGATAATGAAAGGTTAAGAAAACTAATTAAAGAGCTTGAAGGTTCATTATAACGATATGAAACTTAATTACGTGATTATGATCCGAATTGGAAAAAAGAATTAGAATAATAGAAAAAACAGCTAGTATAATTGTAAAAAAAGATAGGTGATGATGATATTGGTAATAGAGAATATTATTAAAAATAGATGATTTGAGGTCTCAATTAAATAAATTGAAAAAGAAGTTAGGTGATTATGAAAAACAGTTTGGTGGGAAGAGTCCGGAAGAATTATAAAGAATGTTAGATGATTTATAAAGAAAAGCGAAATAATTTGATGATCTATAAAATAAAATTGGAGGTATGGATCCTGACACATTAGCAAAGAGACTTAAAGAATTAGAGAAATTATAGAAATCATTTGGAGGAAGTCCAGAAGATTTATTAAAAGTAAAATTAATTAAAAATTAATTTTTTTAGGAGTTAGAAAGATTAAAAAAAAAGGCTAAAGAAGCAGATGATTTAAAAAAAGAATTAGATAAATAATAAAGAGAGAATGATAAATAGAAAAATGATTTAGATATTCTTGATAATTTAAAAGTAAATTTTATTAATATTTAAAGTAAAATGCATAAGATTTATAAATGGAAAATGGATTCTTAAATTAATAATTAAATGATATGAAAAATAAATTAAGAGATGCAGATCAATTAAGAATTGAAAGTGAATAAATGAAAGAATTATTAAAGAAAAAAGATTAAGAAATAGCTTAATTAAAAAATTAATTAGCTGATTAATAAAGATAATTATAAGATATTCAAAGATAATTATAAGATAATTAAAGATAATTACAAGATTAATTAAGATAATTAGGTGATTTGTAATATAAGATTAGATAGGCTGAATAAGATAAATTATAATTATAGTCAGAATTAAATAATTGTTTAGATGAATTAGATTCAGCAGATGGATAAAAAGAAGTAGCTACTTAATTAAAAGATGAAAATGATAAATTAAATTAAGAAGTAGATTAATTAAATGAAGATAAAAATAGATTATAAAATGAAAATGATGATTTAAGAAATAGAATGAATGATTTAATGAGACAATTATAAGATAAAGATAATAAATTAAAGGATTTATAATAAGATTTAAATAAAAAGAATTCAGAATTGAAAGATTTAGGTAATAAATTAAAAGAAGCTAATGAAAAAATTGAATGGATTAAAAATGAATTTGGATTAACAGATGATGATTTGGATCCAAAAAAAAGAAAACTAAATGGTAAAAATATTAAAGAAAATATATTATTCTCTAATATATAACCATCTAATATATTATTGAATTTTCTATTATAATCAGCTGAAATTGAAAGATTAGGCATAATTATTGATAAATATTATAGTGAAAATGAATCATTATAAAATTAAGTAAAAACTTACAAATTAAAAAATGAACAAATCAGTTAATAATTATAACAATAATTAATTTTGTAATCTTAAATGACATAAAATAATGAAATAGAAAAATTAAAAGAATATTATGAAAATAAAATAGTAATGTTAACTATGGAATTAAGTAGATTGAGAAAATAATAAGCATCTAGTTCCTATTAATCAATACCTATTACTCATAAATTATAACCTAGACCAAATAGTTTAAATAATGGTGATTCTCTTTTAACTCCTTAAATATAACCTAAAAGAGAAGAGGATTTATTAAGTTTAATTGTATTAATGGGAGCAGAATTATAAAATTTGAGGGATCAAAATTGTACTTTACTCTTACAATAACAAGATAAAGAAGTTATAAAAGGTTTATTAACAACAAGTGGATATGAAAATCAAACGAAAATATAATAAAAAGTTTATGGTAATGAATAATTAAATAATTATGAAAATTACTCTTAAAGAGAATCAAATAAAGGATTAACTAGAAATTCGTATCAAGATTTATAAAATAATAATACTTAACTAGTAACTTCAACTTAATTTAGAGCTAAGACTTAATATGAATCAAAGTAGAATGAAGTTTTCAATTAAGATTAAATAGTATCTCAATAAGGTGATAATGGTTCAATAAGATCTTATCAATATTAAGCTTAAATTCCTTATAAATATGAATAAAGCTAATAATTGAGTGGGAGTGGATATTTACAAGTAGGGAGATATGAATCATCCAGATATGTAAATTGATATATACCCACACATATTAAATATTACATAATTATTTTCATTTATTTCTTAAAACAACAAGTTATTTTAATAGTAAAATAGAGATTGAAAATACTTTATAGAAAAAAGGCATTATATTCTTATTCAATTTATATAAATACCAGAACACTAAATAATAAATCTAAAATAAATAGATTGATTGTGAATTTAATCATTTTCTGCTTAAGAAATCAATCCATATTTGATAATTTAAATTTAAATAGATATTTAATAGAGAATATAAATATATGATTCTAAGTTAACATATTTTAGAATGATTCTAAATATTAAATTATAGAGTTCTCTAAGAGTGTGTTCTATTATTTGAAATAAAATATCATAACATTAGTTTTATAATCATTGTGGAATTATTTACTTAAGTATATAAATATCTTTATGAAGATAGATATCCCAATACGATAATTCTTATGTATTATTAAAATCAATTTCTTCAAATAATCTTATAATTTAAATAAATATATACTTGGTTATAAAATTACTTTTGTCTTTAAATTTTTTGAGTAGATCTACTTTTTTAATAGTTTAATTAACTTGATTTTCATCAAACCATTGTTTTAAATAACTTTATTCAAATCCATATTTTTCTCCTAGAATTTTACCTGCTCTATTATATTCTATCCAGTCATCCTATTACAATAAATCAAAAATTTCATTTTTTTCTACACTTAAAAGTTTAATTTAATCAAACTAAAAGTAAGTTAATCTCTTTCTATTAGGATTAGGAAATATTTGTTAAAATATTGTTTCAGAAGTAATTTATTATTTTTCAATATTATCCCATAAATCAGGACAAGTTAATTTTTATCTAAAGTTTTTTGGGGAAATAGCTTTTCGTGGAGATTTTATTGTATTTTCTTTATTTTATCTTTTTGATGTTGCAGTAGCATTTAGCTTCAAATTTGTTTTTTTCATAACGATTAGATTAAAAATAAAAATATTTGAAGATTAATAATAAAATTGATACATATTTTGTGAATTAAGTATATTAAAAAAAGAATATGTATCAAACCTTTAAATAAATTTTATAACTTTAAAGCCTTAACAATTTGTTAAAATATCAATTTTTTATATAATTATTAAGATGGATATTGAAATATATGAAGCAAATTTCAGGGATAAAGTAGAACATAGAAAAGAAAATGGAAAGAAATTCATAAATGAATATGAATTGTTAGATGAATTAGGAGAAGGATCATTTGGAAAGGTTAAACGTGTTACTAGATATTTTAAAGAAACAGAAGAATAAGAAGAACTTAGTAAAAGTGATTATGCAATGAAAATATTTCATAAAACAGTTTTAGCTCATTAAAGAACTTGTTTTTATGAGAGTAATTCAAATGATCCAAAAATGACTAATTTATTAGAGTTTGCAGATAATGAGATCAATATTCATAAATATCTTAATCATCCAAATATTTGCAAATTATATGAAATAATAGATGATGAAGATGATCCATAATAAAAAATATATTTAATTATGTAATTGGGTGATTTAGGATGTATTATGAACTTTTGTGAAATTACATTTAAATATATTAGAAATTAGGCTATTCTTGATTATCTAAAAATGAATTATATGCAAGCAGCTAAACTATTATTTAAATAGATAGCTTAAGCAATATAGTATCTTCATGAACATAATATTGTTAATAGAGATATTAAAATTGATAATATTATATGCACTACTTTATATCCATTAGATTAATGTTGTAAATTAATTGACTTTTCAACTTCAAGAATAGCTGAAAAAGATAGTATATTTTATGATTGTGCTGGAACTCCAGGATTTAGAGCACCTGAAGTATAATTTTGTTTAAATGATGGTTATTCTCCATTTAAATTAGATATTTGGTCATTTGGAATCTGTTTATATATTTATACACATGAAAAAGTAATCAATTAACTTATATTAATAGTTACCATTTTGGGGTGAAGGAGATTTAGAAACAGATTTATTAGCTAGAGATTAACCATTATAATTTGAAGTTTAGGATGATTTACTTATTAATTTAATAAATAGTTGTTGTGCTAAAAAACCATAAGATAGACCTACAATATAAGAAATATTAGATCACGAATGGTTTAAATGAAAATTTATTTTTATTATGAATTTATAGTTAAATATATAGTAAGAAGTTGCTAGATTTGCAGATATAAATCATATCTATGAAACAGTATAAAAGAAAGGATACTTAAGTCAAATTTCTAAAGAATTTGAGAACATTTTTATGAATGAAATCAATTTTGCATAACAAAGTAAATTTAATATCAATTTTAAGGATTGAGAGAAGTAATTAGTGTTATGGAAAAATAAGGATAAAAAATTGAATACAATTTGTAATTATCAAGAAATCTGCAAATATTTAAATCTAACTTTGATGTAATAGTTACAGCTACTATGAATTAAATTTGGAATAGACTCTTAAATGAACTAAATGTTTTAGGTTAAGATCAATAGTCATAGATTTTTAATATAGATACATCTTAAACTGTTAAAAGAGTAAATGATTTAACAAAATAATCTGTTTCTGATTTTAAAAAATTTGCATCTAATCAATCAATTTGTAGTCGATCACCTAGTAAAATGTCATCAAAAGTCATTCCATTAAGTGAAATGTCATATTAATCAAATGGCTCACCCACAACATTCCCAAAAGCTAGAAGATAATTAGATAATAGTCTAACTACAAGTTCTCCAGGAGTAGGAAAGTATAAATTAGATTAGAGTTTGAAATGTAATTAACAATAATATATATATATTATTTAGTGATAAGAGAGTCTTCACCTAATGCAACAATAGGAAGAGCTCCAAAAATAAGTTGGATAGATGAAAAAATCAAAAATGAAGATTCTTAATCCCCTGGACCTATTTATAATCCTGTAAAAACCTTTTGTTCTAAAAAAATTAAATGATAATATAGATCATCCCCAATATTCCGTTAATATTTATGAATTTTCCTCGAGTTCTCTTATTTTTTAATCAGTTAAATAAGGATCAGTATTTTCAAAATATTCAAACATATCAGCAATTTTAACTTGAATATCTCTTCCCAATTCAATAGATCCACATATATATAATATACCATCCATTTAGAAATGTTAATATAATTAATCTATTGCAATTAATTCTGTGACATACTATTTAGGATCCTTTCTAGAAAAAGCTACTTGTAATTCACTTAAAGTTCCTGAATTTAAATATTCTTTAAGTTCATCCTTAAATAAAAATTCAGCTTCTGTTTTACATCCATAATATAATTTCATTTCTCCTTAAAATGGACATTTTTCAAATTGATTATTTTCTAAATAATAATCTCTTTCTTGAATAAGAGCTCTAAGTGGTGCTAATCCAGCTCCAATTCCAATTAAGAGTGTAGGTGCTTTAGAATTCTTAGGTAATATAAATTTAGATGGTTGTATGTATCCTCTAATAATATCTCCCTTTTTTAAAGTTCTGAAATATGAACTTGAAAGTCCTAATCTTTCATGATTCAATATAAATTAACTAGCCATTATATGAATATTTTATGGATGTTTCTAATTACTTGATGCTATTGTAAAGTATCTTGGTTATATTTAAGGGCATATTTCTATTATTTTCTCTAAAGTTAATGTTTTGATTTAATATTTTTTAATTAGATTAAGTAAATTCTCTTTTGAATTTTAGAATCTATTTTGATATTGATCTCTTCCTTCAAATGAGGCAAGATGAAGAAGTTCATCTTATAATTCTTTTTGATTAATCATATTTGAAAGTTCTATTAACTATTTTTTTGAAACTAATCCAGAAAAATCACAAAATCTCTTATATACTATTTAATTACTTTTTTAAATATGTGTATATTGAAATTGGATTAGGAAATGGCTATTTCTAATTAGTGATTATTTTAAATCTCATATTTTTATCAAATTTAAGTAAATTACATAATTCATCTATATCAGAACTAATATATTATAAATAATATACTCAGAATTCTAAGGATATATAGCAATATTATAAGCAGTTTTATACTTAATGTTTTAATTAAATAGATCTAAAAATAATGTAGAATTGCCTCTACTAGGTTACAATTTTAATTCTTTGATTTCATTTATAGAAAATGTGATACTATTAATATATTTTTGAGCCATAAAATCAAGATTGTCACTTAATAAATTTTCTGGTTCTTTAGTGATTTTAATTTTAATGATTGAAAAATCTAATTAACCTTATTCACATGTATATAAAGGATATTATAATTGTAATGTTTATTAAACTTCATTATGAATCCATTATTAATAGTCATTTTCTGTTTAATCATTTGCAGCATCACCTTTACCCATATTACATATTCTTTTAGCACCTAATTATTCTAGTCTTTTATCTAATCTTATTCCAAATTCACAATAATGTTCATGATTTGTACTACCTAATGCAAAAATCATGTAATTCATTCCTTAAAATTCATTTTTATTTCTTTCTTCAGAAAATAACCATTAATCAAAGTTTTCAGTATCAGCTGTACATGATCCCATTCCATATGTTGATACAAAAAAAACATTTAATTTTTAGGATAATAATTCTTTAGGATTGTATTCACTAAGATTGATAACTAAGTTTAACTAATTTTTATACTTTTAGGAATAAATTTAAGATTTCTAACTTCACTGGCAAATTAAAAGGCTAATCTACTTGAATTTCCAGTTGTTGTACCATAATAAATATATATTAAACCTCTTGTTTCTAATTAACTTGCAGATGACGTACCACATCCCATATATGTATATAAGTAATTCAATTATATTTTTATATATTTATATTATGAGTACTATATAAATATAATTTTAACGTAATTTAATGAAAACTCTTGTTCTTTAATACCCAAAACAAAAAACCATGTATAACCCAAGCAAACCTGCTGTTAAAATCGATACAAATACTCAATTCTTATAAACTCATGATTTAAAAGCTTCTAATTAGAAAAGTTTAAATGTTGTAGATAGATTATATTAATAAGAAGAAAAGAAAAGAAATAAAATCTAAAAATTAAAATAAGAGAAGGAAAGATCATAGACTCCAACAAAAATATCTTTTATTAGTAAAAAGTCTTAATAGATTCTTGAGAATAAAAATCTTAAACCATTTTTAGAAAGATAAAATGAATTAATCTAAGAGAAAAAGATGAGAGTTGAATTATAGAAGATTTTAGCTACTTAAGAATAAGAAGAAGTTGAATAATATAAAGTATTACCATCAAGATCACATTCTCAATTTATAAAAGATTCTGAGGATTGGGTTTAATATAAAGAATTTAAGAAATAATAATTAGCAGATGAGATTTAGAACCAAAATGAATAATCATTTAGACCCTTAATAAATCCTAAATCTGCTGAAATAGCTGATAAAAAAATGAAAAAAAGTGGACTTCATTTAATAGATTAAGCAGATAGATTAGCTATGCCAATACGGCAAAGTTTTAGTTTTGAAAAAGAAAATTATAGTTTTTCACCTTGTATTAATGCAAAATCTAGATAATTAGCCAATAAGTATAAGTATTAAAGAAGTTAATCACCTTGGAATTAGTATTGAATATTTATTAATTTGAATTTCTATTATATTTTTATAATTAATTCAAAATAAAAGATGGTTTTTTCTAAGTCTAATTTTGTACAATAAAAGATGGATAATTTATAATAGTAATCATGAACGATAAAATTAATGAAAATTCAAGAGACTCATTAGAATCATTGTTTGAAAAATATGATAATAATAAGAATGTATTAAAAGGAATTGATTTAAAGATTAACATTGATCAAGATTCATATGCATCAGATTCATCTAGTCAAAAATAAAAGAGTACTCCTTAATAAACTGATAATTCATGTATTTCTATATAAGAAATAACTACATATAGTAAGGAGAAAAAACTAACCTTTCAACCAGAACTAATTGAATTAAAATAATCTAATATATATGAAGTAAATCAAAAAATAAAAGAATAGTAGAAAACTAAATCTAAATCATTAGAAGAGATTAATAGACAATTTAAATTATAAAAAGAGAATCCTCCTAAATTAAATTTAAGTAAAACTTTAGATAAGAAAAAATAATAACTTTTATAACCTTAACAAAAACAAATTATGAATCCTAAATTATTGTAGATTAATAGCTACACAGTAAGTTCTTCAAAACCAAAGATTGATAAGATTAGATAATTATCTATTAATCCAACTAAAAATATTGTTAAATAAGAAACTATTAAGGAATCTAAAAAATCATTACATATTGAAAAAACTAAATAACAATGTCCTATTTTAAAAAAAACTAATTCCTAAATAATAACTTAAGATAAAAAGACATTTTAAGGAATGTTTTAAGAAAAATGCGGGATTTTTACAGTAACAGGTAAACCAATATTTGAGTTCAATTCTTTAATAAAATATTTATTTTTAAAAGATTACAGTAAGGATACTGAAAATGAAATATATAATAAGATACCTAAAAAATTTAAAACAGATACAGATTATTGTAAAATATTTGAATACTTATTTTTAAATGAAGCATTTCATTAAATAAAATAAGAATTATAAAGAATTAATAAATAAAAATTTAGAAGAATATAAATAAAATAAGATGATGTTGAAATAGATAAAGATGGATTAATCTTTTAAATGAGATAATATTAATAAAATCCAAAAGAGAAGAATAAGGATAGAAATAATGAAACTGAAAAAAAATAGTAGGATGATAGTGATGAAAGTGTACATAAAGAAGAAAGTATATGTGACTTAACATCTTTAAAAAATTATATTGTAATAATAAGCAATAAATTTTCATTTAATCCAGCAAAAATAAATAAGTAAATATATATATTTAATTAAATTTAGAATTAAAGAAAAACGTCAATTATTTTTTGGTATGTTAATAGAACCTTAAACACATCAATATTTAAATCAAATTAAAATTTAAACTTTTATTCCTAGAGATCCATTATATTAAAATTGGATTTCAGTATATTTATTTCCTTTTGTAAAAATTACAACGTAAATTAGGTAATATATATTTTTAATTTTAGAGAATATTTAATGATCAATAAAATAACATAAACACCTTTATATCCATTAATTTTAGATCCAAAATCATAATAAAATTTAATTGGTGCTGATAAAGATAAGATTTGGAATATAAATTCTTAGAATATAATTCCAAATGGAAGAGTAATGGATCCATTTTTTAATTATATTAATTAAAATTATAACCTTTCATAGGCCACAGCAATTTAATAATTAATATTATAAGATAGAGGTATTTGTTTATTATAAGGACCACCTGGTACAGGTAAAACACATACTTTAATTGGTTTATTATCAGGGGTCTATGAATATATGAAAATAATGAATAAATTTCCAAAGAAAAAGATTTTGATTTGTGCTCCTTCAAATGCAGCCATAGATGAAATCATATTTAGAATTTTATAAGGAGGATTATTTGATAGTGAAGGTAGATCTAGAACAGTGAAATTAGTGAGATTAGGTGTTTTAGATGAAGAAAATGATAAAAGTGTTATAATCAAATAAGTTTCATTAGAAGATGTAGCTTAATATTAATTATTCAATAAAAGTTCATTTAAAGCAAATTCAGATTAAAAGACAACTGGAGAATTAAGAATTGAATTGAGTAAAACAACATAGGCTATAAAAAAAATTAAAGAAAATGAAAAATATGATGAATAACAAAAGAAATAATTAAATGAATTATGGAATAAAAGAAATTAATTAATGTAGTATTTAGAATAAGTAAGAACTAATAAAAGAAATTAAAAAGAAAATTATGTTCTTTTTTGTGAAAAGATTATAAGTGAAGCTGAAATACTTTGTTCAACTTTAAGTACTGCTGGAACTGATAAATTAAGTAAATTTATTGATGCATTTGAATTATTGATTGTTGATGAAGCAGCATAATGTACTGAACCTTCAAATAATATTCCATTAAGATTAGGAATGAGAAAGATGATATTGATAGGTGATCCTAAATAATTACCAGCTACAACATTTTCATCAATTTCATAAATAACTCATTATAATAGAAGTTTATTTGAAAGAATTTTAGATAATGATTTTAAACCTTTCTTTTTAGACATGTAATATAGAATGCATCCTCAAATTAGAGAATTTCCATCATTAAATTTTTATGATAATAAATTAATTGATCATTTTTCTGTTTATGAAAGATTGATACCTAATAATTTTTTTAATTAAAGAGTATTATTTATAGATATTGAAAGTGAAGAAACTAAAGATGAAAAATCATTTTAAAATTAAACTGAATGTAATATGATAGTAGAAGTTTTGAAGAATATTAAAAATGCATATCCTACTTAAAGTTTAGGTGTTATTTGTGCATATAAGGCTTAGGTTAGATTGATTAAATCTGAAATTAAGAGATAAATAGGAGATTTAATGGATGACATTTAAATTAATACAGTAGATTCATTTTAAGGTTAGGAAAGAGATGTTATATTATTTTCTTGTGTTCGATCTTCATCGTCTGGAAATATTGGATTTCTTTAAGATGGAAGAAGAGTTAATGTTGCCTTAACAAGAGCAAGAAATGCTTTATTTATTTTTGGAAATGCAATTACAGTAAAAATAATTATTATTATATTAGTTGGCATAATGTTAATTATGGAAAAACCTATTATTAAATTTGAACAATAGGAAGCTTTACAGATATGTTGGAAAAAATGATTATTTTTCATTTAAAATTTTATCAGAAGATATTTGGTTTGATAGATAAAGAAAAATTCATGATTAACTATTAAATCTTTTGAATGATAAAGAACTTAATCTTTAGGAAGAATTAAAAACTATTGAATAAAATAAAGATTAAGAAATTTTCAAAGATAAACAAGAATAATAGAATAATAAAACTGAAAAAAATTTAGTTCAATCAACATCATTAAGCTAATTTCATAATAACATTAATAATAATAATTATTATTATAATAATAATAAAAATAATAATCATAATAATAATAATCATAATAATAATAATCATAACAATAATAATAATAATAATAATAATAATAATAATAATAATAATAATAATCATAATAATCATAATTCAGATAAATATAAAAAACATTAGAAATAAAGTAATCAAAATAACAAATATAATTCTAATTCTAATTCTAATAAAGATAAGATCTAAAATAAAAATAGGAATAAATTTTAAAAATTAATAGAGAAGAATGAAAAAATAAATCATCATTCTTGGAAAAAAAATGGTTGAATTTCTTGAAATAAATGTATATCATTTCTATTTGATTTATCAATTATTAGAAACTTATGTATATATAATTATTTATTTTATTTTATTTTACTTAAAATATATTCATACTAGAATAGATGAAGATATTTAAATCAAATATTGATATTTACGAATGTTAATTTAATTATTGATAAATTTAGTATACTCATTTGTATTAAAAGGATTTCCATGTATTAGTATTTTCTTAAACTTTTTTCATTCCAAAATTAAATAATCAAATTAAAATAGTTGATTAACTCGAATCATAATGGCTAAATTAACAGTGATGTTAATGATTTAAGAATTCAATTAAATGAAATACTGATAGTAAGAGGTTAAACGAATAATTATCTTAAAAATAAATAGTTAATTCAATTTTATTGAATAAATAATACATTAAAAAGGAATCTATAGAACTATGATAGTTAATTTGTAAGTTGCTGGATTAGAACCTTAGTTTTTAAGTTTAGGAAATAATTCAATTATAAAAATTTAATAGGTTTAGAATTCTATAATAAAGTAATAAAGTTCTATTTTATAGTTCATTTTTCCATGATATTTTTGATTTAATAAGATGATTTAAAAAATAAAATATATTAAATATCCTATTAAATAATTTTGTTTCCTTTTTTTTGAGAATTTTTATATATTAATTAAATTGTATAATTTTACTTATACAAAAGAAAGATTTATGATTAATTAAAGAAATTATGTATTATTTTTCTCTTGCTATCTTCTCATTAATCTATAAATAATTTTAATAAAATTGTACTGACTATTTAAAATTAATCAAATTTAATATGATATATTATGTGTGATTAGTTCTAACTTAAGTCATTCAAATATCAAGCACATAACAATATCAATAAGCTTAGAATAAGATATATTGTCATTAGATTTGCAACCAGCCATTTTGGATTAAAGTTTATCAGACTAAAAATATAACTTTTTAATTCTGAATACAACAAACAGGATATGTTTAAGAGATAAAAAATCTAAAAATAAGTTAGTCTAAATAAGATATGATTTATAAAATGATTGATATTTTGATTTAATATAATCTCATTCTCCATGTACTCCAAGACATTTTCCAAAAATACATTCAAAGGCATCTAATGCTGTTTTTTATTATTCTAAACATTCATATCCCTATGATACTTAATATAAATATACAGCAGAGTAATTAAATGGGTCTCTTTCTTATACTTTCATACATTTTTTCAGTTATTTCAAACAACCTGTTGAGTTATCACAGATATCAAATTCTTCTTTACATGTTCCTTAAAGACATGATAAAACAGCGTCTGGCTAATGGTGTCTTTTAGCTAAAGCTATCAAGATAATTGCTAAGAAAAGTAAATATTTCATGATGAGGAAATTTAAGATATTTATAATATTGTGTGTTTTTTAATTGTGAGTACAATTATCAATTGAGATATAAATAGTTTTGATATTATCTTTGAATTCGTAGTTTAAGTAATTTCCAAAAACAATCTCAAAAACATTGGTGAATAATGAATAATTAATTGAATTGATGAGATTATTTTGTACTTGAGAGTTTTGAAAAATAATTTAAATCTTTATTGTGATTTTAATTAAATAATAAATTTATTTGAATTGATAAATTATTAGAGTAAATTAATTATAGACTGTCAATCCATCATTTATCCTCTTTTAAATTATATATTAATAAATAAATGGTAATAAATAATGATATTTATAATTTGTATTTAATTATATAATTAGATTTATTATTTTTATCTTTGTAATATTTAAGTTCTTTCAGAATATTGAAATTATTATAAATAATTAAAAATAACATCAACCTGAAAAGAGAGTTTAACTTCTCTATGCTATGGTCTTGATATATTATTTTTATTATTATTAAGTAGTTTATGTCTTTCTATGTTTTTAAATACATTCTAGAACAACAAAACTTTCTTCACTTAAACTAACTTCATCTCCATCAGCCTAACATTATAATGTTACTTAATTATCATTAAAGAGTGCTCCATGAATTGATTCATAATCAGATAAGAAAGAAGAAACAGGAATAAGTTTAGATTTATTAGCCATTTATTTCAGAAATGGAATTAATTTTAAAAGACATTCATCTTCATCAGAATCTAAAAATGAAGGAATTAATAATCCATTATCTGGCTACATCTCAAATGCATTAGGATTATTCTAAGATTAAGATGATCTTTTATACATACATCAATGAATATTAACTAATCTAATGGTCTGTCTAAAATAGATAAGTCTTTTAAGCAAATTCCATTTACAAATCTGCAATTCGATCTAGCAAAATAATCAGAAATATGTCTATCAACATCTATATGTTATAAGACTTTATCACAATAAGACTCATAACCAGCAGTAAATACAATAATTTCATAATAAGCACTCATTTATTAGAGAAATTCTCTTAGATAAGGTCTTTTACATAAATAAACCGTATATAAAACTCCTCTATGCCAAACATCTAAAATAGTTTCATAATGAAAATTTGGATTTTCTTTAAATTCACAATGCACTAAAGTTTCATCCAAATCTAAAACTAGTGTTTTTTTCTTTCGGATTTGACTATTTTGAGTAGAGAGTTGAAAAGAAGCATCTTATCCATCAAACTTTTATCTGATGTTTTTAAAGCATCTTTTAATGTATTGTAAACAATTCATTTTAATTACATAATTTTATAAATAACATGATTCTAATTATTATTATAAAACAATAAGTAAAATTATTTCATTCAATTAAAATGATTTGTATTTTATAAAATGTAAAGACTTTAAGTTTAATATTAATCTATCTAAAAAATTACAAAAAGTTTTCTTCCATTTTATGTTTATTAAATTCAAATAGAACAACTTTATTTATTATATATAAATAAAAAAAGAAAACTGTTAATTAAAATGATAACTTTATTATATTTAGGAATGATATACTAGACCTTAGAAAATATTTATTAAATTTATCAGAAAATAACACATTTCAATAAGTATATTATTATATTTCAAATAAGATAATTGGTATTTAGATCCTTCTCTTTCTTTGATAATTCGGATTCTGTATAAATTTTTGCTCTATATTATTTAGTTTTTCTCTATTCTTTTGGTTATTTAATTTCAGGATATAATTCTAATTCTTTTTCTAACCTTTAAGAATTTTCTAATTATTATTTAGTTGTAATCAATTTGTTCTGATTCATTTACAAATTTGATTTAAAAATAAATGATTAATAGATTTCACTAACCTTGCGATTATTTTAATCACATAAAATAGCACTTGAATTAATATCAGTATTTAAAGATCTCATATGTGTTGCTTATATTGCATCTGTTTGTAGTGAGAGATCCAACGTTTAATATAAAGATTTAGATAAAGATCTATTTTATTTTTCATCAGGAGTTTCATTTTCAATTGTTAATCTTCCTCTATCAGTTCCAAGAGTTATTTTAAGATTCTCTGTTTAATTACTTTGCTCATTTTATAATTTTTATTAATCTAGATTTATTATAAATTTGTTAATTAAATTAATTGGAGGGGAATTGATTTGTCTATGATTAATATACTTGCATACAAATCTTTATTAGTTTTGGCTAGTTTATGATTTATTTCGATTTATAGAAGAGCTACCTTTTCTAAATACAAAGCTTTGAATAGTACTTTTCTGATAATTTTATATTACATCTTACATATTACCACTTAAATGATAAGGATTATCTTAGAAAAGAATTTCACTATTTTTTACTTTGAGACGTTTTCCATTCATAATAGATGATGTATGAAGTTAAGTATTTGGTGTTTGAGGTTTTACTTATGATTTTTCAACTGAAATGGTAGATTATTACTACAACGTTGTCATTCTACTTTCGGTTAGTTTTCCACTATTTAACTTTTATTTTGGAAATTGACAATATCCATAGAATTTATTTTGATGTGGAGTGTAACTTAGATTATCTCTGCATGATTTACTAATCTTTCTATCATTTCCTGTTTATAATTCATTAAAATTTAGTTTATAAATAGAAGTTTCATTTCCTATTGGTATTACCTTCGAAATTGATTAAGTTATTGAATCATTTACTTTTGATAGTCCATGATCCAAATTATGACTAAAATAATAAATAAATATACATATTTTATTTACTCATATTATTAATATTTATTTTGTGATTTCGTTAATGATTATTTGATTATTAAACTTGATACTCTAATCTTTAAGAATACTAAATAGATTATAATTATTAATAAAATATAATAATTAAGCAAGTTAACTATATTTTTTATTTCAATTAAAGTATATAGAATAATGAAAAGATTAACTTTTCAAACTATAGAGTCAGAAGGATAATAAGATGACTTTGGAACATCACCTAGTAAATTAGATAATTGGAATAGTCAATTAACAAAAAAATCAAGAGTAAGAACGGAAATATCTATATAAAATACTTGTATTGTTAAGAAACAGAATTAAATTGGAGATTTTGAGGATGAAATGAATACTTAATTATAAAACATAAAAGATGAAATAAATTCAATCAAATAGAAATTGTCTAAATAAAAAACTACAATGGAGAATTTATCATATAAATTATAAAAAAAGGAGGATGAAGTATTAATACATTTTAATTTAGATAGAATAATTGGAAGAAAAATCAACTAATTTAGCAAGAGAAATGAGTTAGATAGCTCACTATCTCACTAATTCTCAAGAAAATGTAATTCAATCATAAAAAATTTAAAAGAAATATCGAAATGAATGTATACAGAAAAACTAACTATAAACATTTGTTGATTAATATATGAAAGAATATAATGAATAATATACTGAATTATGGAAATTAATTAATCAAAAGAAAAGAGAACGTTATCTAATCAAAATAGAAAATTAAATTAATATCTAAAAGAAGGTAAATTTAGAAAAAGATCTTTAAAAATATCTCATATTAGAAAAATAAAAAAAAGATAATCTATTAGATTACCTTTATAATTAATGTAATATTTCTAATTATGGAGGTGCAGCAATAATGTAAATTTATTAATTTATTTAGAGATATTATTCGTAAAGTAAAATAATTAAATTAAGATTTTGATTCTTCAAAACTACCTAAAGAACTTGATGGATTTGAAAGATAATATCTTTTAAATAAAGTACATTTTGAAAGAGCTCATAAACCAACAATTACATTAGATGAAAGCTATTCATAAAAACTTAAAATCAAAAATAATTAAAGTCCAATTAAATTAGATTATTTAAGAAAAGTTATTGGATATGATGCTTATTCATTTATTCCAATTTTGAAAGACAATCCTTTCAAAGATATAAATAAGACAATAAAGAGAAAAAGACCTTAAAGAGTAAAGTCATTAGAGTATTGTCGATATGCTAAAAGAGATTGTTCTATGGATTCTGTATAATTTAAATGAATTTTCTATTTATTAAAATAATAAATAAATAATTAACGAATTTAGATGCACCAGCAACATACAACCACATAGTAACATGAAGAATATATGATTTAAAAATTGCAATAAATGGAGAAACATATATATCAATTAGAATCTTAACTTGGTGTAGCAAATCAAGAGATCTCAAATCTTAAATAATAAAAAACACAATTATAACAATAGTTAAATGATATATAAATTAATTCAGTTGGACAAGAGTTTACTGAAGCTATAGTAAATTATTTTAAATAATTTAAGAGTAAATCATCAGTGGATAGAGTTTTATAAAGAAAAGATAAAAGTGTAAATAAAGTAAAGAAACAACCTGGAACATTAAAATTAGATCTTCTTAATTAGATATTTACTGAATATCCAAACTTAGTTAGACCAATTATACATATAAAATTAACAGATGAGGACTTTAATTGAATTCTCTACTAAATTAAATTACATAAATATTAATAACTTTATATATTTTTAAAATAATCTATAATAATATTGAAAAGAATTTGGTGTTGATTTAGAATAATTTTTATGATAAATGAATCATTATCAGATTTCTTCTCCAGCTGATTATCTTAAGGCTAATTATTCTCTTAAGGTTCTTAATTCCTTGTTGACTAATCCGATGGTTTATGAAACAACATCTCTGTCAGAGGTTCTGGCAGATCTGGCATCTTAGTAATCTTAGACGGCTTCTTCACATTAGGTGAATCTGTCAGTTCTGTCAGCAGTGACGTTTTCAATTCTTTAGTTGGTGGTGTCAAGTGAGGCTTCAACTTAAGCAATGACATCATTCAAAGCAGCCAAATCTGATTGAGCGTTAGCAAGTGCAGTTCCGGCAACAGTGAGGGAGATGACAACAAAGTTTCTGGATTTCTTGTATGCTTCAACTCTCTTATCTTCAGCGAATCTCAATAAGGACAATGAATCAGCAATCTTGGCTAATAATTCATCAGCTAAATCGATGATCTTTGAGACAGCTCCAGCATCAGCTAATTATTCAACTTTTGAGGCAATTGTGGCGAAAGCTTTGAATAATTTGCTATATCCCTTTCTGTGTTAGAATTTGGCAGCCTTCTTAGCAGATTAAGTGAAATGCTTTTAGATCATACTAGCAACTTCCTTTGTGAATTTGTGAACTGGTTATCTTGTGGCTTTTCCTTTTTAGATGAAGGATTCGTGTTCAATGTTATCAGCGAAGAGTCTTCTAGCTTCAGCAATGATAGCTGTGGCTTCTTAGTGTTCTAAGACTTTCTCTTCGAAGTCAGCGTTTTCTTCAGCTCTTTAAGCATCGAGTTCATCTAAATCCTTTTAGTATCCCTTGACTTCAGCTTATTTTTAGGCAACCAATCCTTATAAGATTCCTCTTTATGGGTATAATTATCCTTCTAATCTAGCTTCTAATTCAATCTTCTTTCTGTTAGATTCAGCCAAATCCTTATCGAAAGCTGAGATGTCCTAGAATTGTATAAGTGTATATGTCTTACAACTGTGCATGCATCTTAGTATTCGTGGTTTCTGGCATCGTCTTCCTTTTATTCAGCAACATATCTGTCTTCCAAATCTGTCAAGGTTTAGAGTAATCTGTCCAATGGATCTCCTGTTTAGAGTTCGAGCCAGATGGTGTCGAACAATGTTCTTCCGAATGGTGATTAATCAATCTTCTTGATTGTTGCAATGACATCAGCTTATGTTGATGAGGCTAACACGATGAGTGCTAAGGCAAGGATTATTGTCTTCATTTGTAATAATATTGAAACAAAAAAAAAAGTTAGTCGTTTTTATTCCTCAATAAATGACGTCTTATTTTATTTTAAATATAATGAATTGACTAATTTTTATTATAATATATTAGAGGTCATAAATATTGAATTAAACATATACCTAACATAATTTAGATCACTAATTATATACTCAATTATAGAGAATATTATTAAGATGTATAGATATTATAAAATTGAATATAAACAATAAATATGATAATTTAAAAGATAGAATAATAGAGATTATAAATCAAAATAATTGAGATTCATTAGAATGCAAAACATTAAAAAAGTCATTTGGAAATCTACTTTTAGGTACTATTGGTTTATTTTGCTATATTTTATTAGTAATTTTTGAATATTAAATTCTACTTTATTCATTAAATTTTTTTTTCAATTCTCCAGTTGAAAGAAAGAGCAAATCTAAGATTTTTTCTTTTGTTTATTGACTAATTTAATTTTAATGATTAGCATTTTTTTAGGTATTCTTAAAATTACTTTAATTATCATCATCTTCTTTAAAAAACTAAGAAAATTCATCATCACAAGGCATATCTATAAGATGTTTAGTTGTGAATCTTTGTGATTCATTAATATATTGATGTCCANGGTGAATTTGTGAACTGGTTATCTTGTGGCTTTTCCTTTTTAGATGAAGGATTCGTGTTCAATGTTATCAGCGAAGAGTCTTCTAGCTTCAGCAATGATAGCTGTGGCTTCTTAGTGTTCTAAGACTTTCTCTTCGAAGTCAGCGTTTTCTTCAGCTCTTTAAGCATCGAGTTCATCTAAATCCTTTTAGTATCCCTTGACTTCAGCTTATTTTTAGGCAACCAATCCTTATAAGATTCCTCTTTATGGGTATAATTATCCTTCTAATCTAGCTTCTAATTCAATCTTCTTTCTGTTAGATTCAGCCAAATCCTTATCGAAAGCTGAGATGTCCTAGAATTGTATAAGTGTATATGTCTTACAACTGTGCATGCATCTTAGTATTCGTGGTTTCTGGCATCGTCTTCCTTTTATTCAGCAACATATCTGTCTTCCAAATCTGTCAAGGTTTAGAGTAATCTGTCCAATGGATCTCCTGTTTAGAGTTCGAGCCAGATGGTGTCGAACAATGTTCTTCCGAATGGTGATTAATCAATCTTCTTGATTGTTGCAATGACATCAGCTTATGTTGATGAGGCTAACACGATGAGTGCTAAGGCAAGGATTATTGTCTTCATTTGTAATAATATTGAAACAAAAAAAAAAGTTAGTCGTTTTTATTCCTCAATAAATGACGTCTTATTTTATTTTAAATATAATGAATTGACTAATTTTTATTATAATATATTAGAGGTCATAAATATTGAATTAAACATATACCTAACATAATTTAGATCACTAATTATATACTCAATTATAGAGAATATTATTAAGATGTATAGATATTATAAAATTGAATATAAACAATAAATATGATAATTTAAAAGATAGAATAATAGAGATTATAAATCAAAATAATTGAGATTCATTAGAATGCAAAACATTAAAAAAGTCATTTGGAAATCTACTTTTAGGTACTATTGGTTTATTTTGCTATATTTTATTAGTAATTTTTGAATATTAAATTCTACTTTATTCATTAAATTTTTTTTTCAATTCTCCAGTTGAAAGAAAGAGCAAATCTAAGATTTTTTCTTTTGTTTATTGACTAATTTAATTTTAATGATTAGCATTTTTTTAGGTATTCTTAAAATTACTTTAATTATCATCATCTTCTTTAAAAAACTAAGAAAATTCATCATCACAAGGCATATCTATAAGATGTTTAGTTGTGAATCTTTGTGATTCATTAATATATTGATGTCCAAACTGTCTTTTAAGACTTGTTGAATTCCTATTCTCACATATACTACCTATTCTATAGGGATCATCTGGTTCTGTCTTTAATATAGATTTCTTTTCTTTTGAGTAACCTCTTTACAATTAATATAGAATTTCTCTTGAATCATCAAAATCTCTCTTTGCTTTATGCTTAATTGGTGAATGAACTATTTCACTTGGTTCAGTATTAGTTTTTTGAAAAGGTACATGATTTGATCTATTTCTAGCTTTTGCTGAATCATTTCTCAATCTAATATTACTATGTTAACTGAAGCGAATAGTTATTTTTGGTTAAGTTGTAAGTTCATTGATATTAGGTTCATCAGATTTAAATCTTCTTGGTGTTGGCTATCTCATTTAGATATTAAGATTTTCAAAGCTTTTAAATTTTGACAAAGATTAATCACATTATTATTGTATTTGAGGTGAAGGTAAGGATGGTAAATCTACTTTATTACTTTTTAAAATTCTCAATCTATATCATATTTATAATTAATACTAATTGTTCATCCTTTTTAATTAAGGAGATGTAATAGGTTGAGTAATTATGGGAGCAGGTCTTTTAATATTGGATAATCGATTTTAACTTTTTGATTTTGATTCCTCACTTTATTATTGACTAAAGCTTTGTTTACTTGATTGATTTCTATAGGATAAATGATTCACAGGTTTAATGAAGTATGGCTATTACCTCATATGATTAATATAATTTTATGATTGTTAACAAAATAAATGTATTTAAAAAATAGGTTTCATAATATTCAATTCTTATTCTTAAATACTAAATCATCTTATTAACTTTTTAGATGTTTGTATATAACTAATTTATATTAAGGAAAAGTATAAAAACGATTAAATTATTGAATGTTAATTCAATAAAATTGGATTATTGACTTATTACTATATTTTTAATAATATATTCTAAACTTGTTAACATAACCAAACAATTATAATTGATAAATACTATAATTCAGAATTCTTCTTAAGCACAAACTTATTCTAAAGCTTATTTAATTTATTTAGTAAATAACTCCTTGGTAGTACTATTCAAATAGTTGTTCAAAACTATTATATTTAATTTGCTTACCTTGATATCCTAATGTTATAAACTCCAAAGTTTATTGTTGCAATTGAATTGAATTTTTATATTCTTAAATCAATTAAATAAGTAATTATTAAAACTATTATAAATTAAATATTTTACTTCATTTGGATTAAATAAAGAAATGGCAAACAAAATCTCACAATTTGGTGTTGAAAATTTTAAAATCTTAGGAAATGCAACAATAATTGTAAAAGCTGATGAAAAAAGGGAAATTAAAACTTGTTTGCCTGTTGTATAAATTTCTAATGTTTTCTTCTTAATCATTTCTGTATCCATTTATTCACCAATAACTCCTTCTTATATTAAGAATTGCATAACATTGCATAGAATACTAGCAATTTAAGATATTTATATTGCTTCTTCATTAATTTATTCTTCACCTTTAAGTTATTTAAAATTCAATATCTCTTTTAAAGTACTATCTGATATAATTAATAAATCTAAATAAACATCTGATCCACATCTATATGCTAATGTCTCACTATGTTCAGAACAGATCCCTTCCAAACATTCAAACAAATACTTTTTATATTTTATTAAGTTTAGGAATAATGGTTTATATGCAATTATAAGCTACAATTATTTTTTGAACAAATTTAAATATGAAGAATCTTAATAAATTACAAAAAACCCTTAATTTATTTATTTAGAACTTGAAATCTAACCCATTACTTTTAACAATTTAGCTGCCATCTTCAAAATACCATCTTTCACTTGCTAACCTTATTATATACTAGTTTAAGCTTGTAATATTAAATAATCAATAGATGTAATAAAAAATGTTGTAGCTTTTCCATATATTTAATAGAGTAGAATTTAAATATTTTCATTTGATAATCTTGTATTTCTAATTGTATTTTTATATAATTACTTATTTTTAAATATTGAACATAAGAGTGCTGTTAATCCTAAAGAAGAATCATAATCTTATACAAATATTTAAGTGTTATCAGTAGATAATAGAGATGATAAATCAGGAAATCTAATTATATATAATATATATTATTACACAATTCTTAAGAATACTCTATATATACTATCTACTTCTAATTCATCTACTACTCCAATCATATCCCATAAATATTTAAGCATATTTATTTTATTAGTTTCATTAGTAATAGATTTTTTTATTTATTTGTAAATATCAACTAATGCAGGAACATAATCATCTAATTAATCATCAACCCAAACTAAAGAAACCAATTTATAAACTTATTTTCTTTTCTTTATATACTAAACTTCATTAAAACATGTTAAATCCATCTATAAAAAGAATTACTTCAACATACTACTGATAGAACTCTATCTAAAGAATCTTCTATCCAATTATCTCTTTAATCTAAATATTTAAATCAATAAATACTTTTCATATGTATATTATAAAATAATAAAGCTAAATTCTACTAAATCTGGATCATGAAATGTAAATATTTAAAAACTATAATTATACTTAAATATTACCATTTTTCTAAGCAACTTTCAATAACTATCAGATAGTTTTATTGTCCTTAGTTATCATTTCCTAAATTCATTGATCTATTAATTTAAATCATGAATTACAATTATGATTAAGATATGACTGTTTTTTAAATTTCATCAAAATATAAATTTTCTATAGTCTAAGATATATATGTTTAAATAAATATTAGAATACTAGTGTGGTACAACTTACAAACATAATTCTATTTTTTTAATTTATTTGTAATTATTACATCAGCAGGAATATTTATTTTATTTGTAAATGCAATCAAGTCAAGTATTGCTTATAATAAAATACGAGCTTAAGGATGTCCTTCAATTTTAGCCTATTAAAATTGAGATTCACCTCCACTTAGATATTCAATCTAGGCTGGACTTAATACTAATGCAGATATTAGACACAACAAAGAACTAAATTTTTCTTAATTTCAATAAATTCTTACATAAAGTAATGAGTTGTTCTTAAGGTTGTAATGTTTAAACTTGCTAAAATAATTAATAATTTATACCATTATGGGTAGATTTTTTAATAAGTCTGAAATCACATTTATACATTCAACTGTATTTTATTAATATACTTATATGCATAAATGAAATCCTTTATCTAAGAATTTCTTAATTTTTTTAATAGGATAATTTGGTGGTATTTCAGAAAAAGGATTCCCATTATAAAATGCATGAATTAATAACTTAAAACTCAAATTTACAGAATTTTAAAGTAGTTTAAATTATTAAAGATATTAAGAACTGTATATGTTTATTTAAAATAAAAATTGATGCCATACTTCTTATAATTTAATGAAAACACTATTAGATGATAATTTTATTCCTTGATTATTTAAGATTAATTGATTTATTTTATTTAATTAATTTACACATTAATCAAACAAATCTTAAAATTTTCTTAATTTTTTTAATGTAAAATTAGACTAATAAATAACAAAAAGTAATTTACTACTAATCTTATTGCAAAAGAGCAAACTTCATTTGAAAAATCAGTATTGTTCAAATATAATTCATAATTATTTAATAAAAATAGTAATCCTTCCCATAATGTTCTTCTTAATATCTTTTTAAAATTGTGCTTTTAAAAAAATAAGGACAATCTTGCTGATGAAATTCTTTAGATAATATTTAAAATTCTAATTGATATTGCTTAATCTATAGGATAAAAATCAATAATAGCTCTAAAATATTCCTGATTCAACTTTTCATCATTAATAATTTTAAAATAAGAATCAGGAAACTAAATAAAGTATTAAATTATGTTATTACATTAATTATAAAGTTTTCTTTTGAATCATGATCAACATCAATTTCATAAAAACTTAGATTGAAATTAAATGTCAAGAATGAGTTAAGTAATTATATTAATGAATCAGCATATGATTTATCTAATTGATAAATTTATAAAAATGTTCCAATTTTCAATTAATTTTAAACAAGTTTATGAGTCTATTCAAGTAATGTAGATAAAGATTATCTAGAAGAAAATAATAAATAATAACCTTTGAAATCCCATCATGATTTTTCTAAATTCTAAATATCCAGTTGCATAATAATATTATCGAATACAACTCAATAGATTTTCAAATAATTTGCATCCTAAAGTTAAAATTTAAACATTTTAAGTATAAAAAAATGTGTTTATTAATTTTTCAACTAATTACTCTGGTCCAATTATTTCAGACCAATATTTTCTTAACATAAAGGCAAGAGCAAATAAAACTGTGTTTTAAACATAAATTTAATGCTACAAACCTTTTGTAAAATAATTTATCACAATATCCAAGTGAGTTGTCACAATTGTTGTAAAATGTTATCTTTCATTGCTAAAATAATTATAATTTATTTACATTTCATATTCTTCATAACTTTATGATTTTCTTTATGAATTTTGAAGAACATTAACAAATTTACAACCTGAAGCAATTGCTTTCTGAAGTAATTAGTAAATTACAAAGGTAGTCTCTTACTTACAATCTACTTCAATAAGACTTTTCAATATAGGCAAATTATTCCAATCCAATATGAATTTTCTCAATAGCTCTAAAATTTATTAATTCTTCTAATAAATGTCAAATATATTCAATACCGCAAAATCTCCAGCAGAATATGATTGTAAACAATAATTATGTATTGTCTATTAAAGTTCAGATGTTTTATTCATATAAATTAAATAATTAATATTAGACAAATAATGAACAATAGAATATCAAAAAATTTAAGCCAATTCAAATCAATCTTAAATATATAATTTATTATAGAAATTCTTTTTATAGCTCCTTGGATCTATAATATTTTACATTTGGCGGTGTATTGTTTATCTAATAAAATATAAAATTTAATTTCAACAATAAACTTAATACAAATCTATTTTTTTTATAAGTATTATTTGTTATTTTTATATAGAATATGTATCTATTTGTTTTTATTAAATGTACAAACTAAATTTTATAAAATTCTTTTGAAAATCAAAAAAATAATAAAATTTTTGTTTATACATAAAATGAGTATTTTTAATTTATTTACACAAAAATAAAATGAATAATTATAATAATCATGAAATTACAATTTTATAAAAAGTGGAATTCTAAGTTTCAATATATAAATGATTTATAAGTGTTAAATTAAGATTTTATTGAAAATCTTTTAACAACCCTAATCTCAAAACAATTTTTATAGGCGGTTAATTCTTTTTTAAGAACTCTAAGTTTTAAACTATGAAATATATTAATTTATATGTTTATCAATAATTATATTTAAATTTGAAATAATGAACTTATAGTGGAATCCTTATTTCATTCCAAAAGAAAATATTTCTTAACTTAATGTATTTATCCTTATTAATTAAGAATATATCATTTATGAGATTTGATGAAAATTCACAATAACCATTATACAATAAATAAATTCAATAGCATAAAAAAATATAGATTTAAGTAAATACTTAATTAATAATTAGCCTACATTCTAACCAGACTGTATAAAATATAAAAGAAATAAAAAATAATAAAGTTGTGTACCATTTTAAATGAATGTTCCTCAATAAACTTCTAATCAAACATTAACAAAAGTAGCACAATTAAGTTTAAAACCAATATTCAGCAAACCTAAAAGCATCTAATAAAATATATAGAATGAAAATCTTAAAGGATCAGCTATTTGGGAAAGAAAGGATTTTCAAAATTAATAAATTACTTTTGAGTCTTTCTTAAAGGAACAAAATCTATCTAGAAATAATTCAATAGAACATAATAGCAATAAATCTCATTTTAAAAAGAATCATCGTTAATATAGTCATGTTGTTTAAGGAAATTCAGGTGCTTATTTTATGATTTCTAATATACAATAAAATAATAACACTAATACTACTAATTCATATTATTCTAATTGTGAAAAGTAATAATATATTGAAAAACATATATAGTTGTAATTCACAAAGAGAAGATAGAAAAATAGAAACAATAAATGTTCCTAAATTTTTTATTCCAGAGGATAATTCTAATTAATTTAGTGAAAGAACAATTAAAAAATAAAGTCCTAATAACCTAATTAAATATAAAAAAAATAATAGGTGTATATCTATGGGAGAATAAAAGCAGATAGGACTTACATTAGAATGTGATGAATCAAGCATCACAATTATTAGTGACAATATTAATACTGTAATACCTAATCCTACAAATTTTAAGAATAATAATACATTAATTAATGAAAACAATAATCAAAATTGTTAAATAGGTGGATTTTCATAAGAAACTTTATAAGTTCTCATGCTATAAGAGATTGAATATGCTCCTAATTGTGATTATCTATAATCAATATAAACCTAAATCACTCCTTTAATGAGAGCAATTTTGATGGATTGGATGATTGAAGTTTGTTCTGTTTATCTTATGAAGAGAGACACTTATTATTTAGCAGTTGCATATGTTGATAGTTATTTATCTAAAAAAACAATAACCAAACATGAATTATAATTATTAGGAACTGCTTCAATGCTTATTGCATCTAAAATGGAGGTAAATTATATAATAATTTGTTTTTAAGGAAGTTGAGGCTAAAAACCCAAAGGATTTTGAAAAAGCTAGCAATTATGGTTATTCTTTAGATAAAATATATGAAATGGAAAAAGAAATTTGTAAAACTCTTTAATGGCATTTAAATATACCAACAATAAATTTATGGATAGAATTTTACACAAATTAATGGGATAATTATATTTCTGATGTTCATAAGAAATTTAGATAGAATAATAATTGTTCATTTAAAAGTAATACATATATATGATATCTAAGTGATATTAAAATTATAAGGATATATCGATTGTTGTTATCTTGATTTTGAAACTCTTAGTTATTAGACTAGAAAAGTTGTAGCATCTTTTATGTATCTTGTTTTGGCTTTAGAATATGAATAATTCACAAAAGAATATATTTATTATGAAATTCCAAAAACAACTAAATTTATCCTTGCTGATTGTAAATATCTTTTATAATCACTAGCTTAGAAATCATTTAATAAATTATTTACAGAATTTGCATAAATTAGTTTTGGATTCAATCTTGTAGATCTAATTGAAATAATTAAATATGCTTCTAAATTTATAATGTTAGATTTTAAATATAGTGATACATTTCAAGATAAAATAAGCATTCAAGTATAATATATGTTAATATCAATACTTAGAGACATGAAGATTTACTTATATATTAAAAGTATAATTAAACTGGACTCTCTTTCATTAGATACAGACTCTAAAAATGATATAATTTTTAATTAATTTTGTTTTATACTCTTTTAAATATAATACCTTATCATACAACTATTTTTACAAGTAATAGCTCTCTTAGGATTATTTAAGAATTCTTCCATAAATTCAATAAATTATAATTATTCTAATCATTATTATCAATATGCAGTCCAATAATCCTAAACTTGGGTTGATTTCAAATTAATCTAATTAGAAATACACAGATACTTAATAAGAGAATGATGTATTTGAATTATAAGATTTTGGAGATGATTCAGATCAAATTCAATTTGACGATACAAGTAAATACTTAAATAATTAACTAGTATGCTAAAATAAGGCTATTGTATTGGCTAATCTTGATTAAGAACCAATAACAATGGTTACATCTAATAATAGGTCAAATTAAAGTTAATAAGTTAATTAGAAAAGCTAATTTTAAGCATCCTATCCTATTTAGTAATAAGTTCCATAAGTATTTATTATTTGGTTATATGTTTATAGTATCAAATGTAAAATTCTAATAATTAATCAAATTAAAATTGTTTTGGGACTTTTTCTAAAGAAGAAAGAGAACAAAGTAATTCCAATTAAATTTCTTAAATTCAAAATGAAAATGTTAATACAACTAAGTGAGAATTTAAGTTAAAATTTAGTTAAATATAATCAACATGCATGTTTTGTTAGATTCCATAAATGATTCCAAAAAATAAAAATGTTTTTATATGTTACAATTGCAAATAGATTAATAAATTGATATTTGCCTATTTTATTTGTGGTACTTGTAGTTTGACTGTTATGTATCAATAAGGAAGTATATACATTATACTATTTAAGTTTCAAATCTAATTAACTGTACTAATTGTATGAGTATCAATTATGTACAACAACCAAATCTTCCAAATACATTCTTATAAGCCAAATTTTCAACAATATAGATTTAATACTCAGTTAATTAAACTTAAACTATATCCACTATATCTAATTAATAGTAAGGATAAGGAATTTAATAATAGCAATAAAGAAATCAAGTTTCGGATCTTGAAGCTGAATTTAAGGAATTAACTAACTGAAATATTATAAATAATTTTAATAAATAATGATATTTAGCTTAATCTTTATAAATTATAATTATAATTATTTATTTATTATGAAAATTGTTAATAAAATAAATTAATTTATAATCAGGATTAACTAAAGGAAAAATCCATCATATCTTTTTTATAATGAAACCCAATTTATTGTATAGTAGAATGTTATAATAAATCTTCTTTGTCAACACCTTTTAAATTTGGAAAAAATTTGAATAACAGTCTTTTGTAATCTTTGGAGTTTGCACAAATATTGTGATTACAATTAATGAATTCTAAGGATTTATTTATATGAGTTAATTAATTCAATTAACTAAGGTTATTTCCACTTATATTAAAGATTTTTAGAAATTATGTATTTGAAAGTGATGAAATTTGATTATTTTAAGCATAAAGTTCATTTAAATTAGGAGGCAATCCTTCTAAATTTTTTAATTGATTACCAGCTACAGATAATACTTTTAATTCTATTAATTCTTCTAATTTAAGTTCTTTAATTAAAAGACAATTTATGCTTAATGCTTATAAATTTTTAAATATCATAGAAACTTCTCTTATTTCTAAGCATCTTTCTTTGAATGTCATTATTGAAATATTGAAAATTGCTTTATTGATATTATGGAAGACAAGATAAAAGTCTTATAAAGTAAAATTTGTTATTCCATTTAAAACAATTTCATCTGAATTTTATGTAAGTTATCTAGTCAATTCTTTAATTAATAATTAATGAGGTTTCTTTAATTAATGTTATTATTTCTGCTTTGAGATATATATAGTATAAATACATGTTCTATTTCATTTTCTATATCAGTGATTTTAGCTAATAATCTTTTCTGAGCTTCTTATAAATTCTCTATTTTCAATCTAGGACTTCTTGATAGTCTTGTAACTTTATTGCTTTATTATGTTTTTATTAGTTTAGTAGGATCATTATAAGATCCTCTGATTTCTTATTTCACTTTAGTGTCACTCAAAGTTAAATCATTAATAGAATCAACTAATGAGTTTACACAAGTGGATAATTAATGATCCTATTAATGTAGATTACCAATAATTTAAAAGAAATCATCATAAATTAATCTCTTTTTATTAAATTTATAAACTTCTTCAATAACTTCATCTAAAGAGAATAATTCATCTTATGGATTAGAGCATTCGATAGTTATTTCATCTTTTAATTAATTAATTAGATCTGAAATGTTTAGAATGCTATTTTTTTGGAATAATTTCTTTATATGAATAAGCCAATTAAGTTTAGATGAGCAAATTTCCATTCTAAGTTTAAATAAAATTAATTAATAACTATCATATGAATAGTATAAACATGAATTATTTACTAAAATAAATTAATGAAATCAAATTTGATAAAAAAGTTAGATCAAATTATTAACTATAAAAGTATAAAAAGAAATAAATTTATATAAAAAAACAAAAAAACAAAAAAAATAAAAAGAGTAATTCTTTTATACAAATTGTAGTGAGCTAAAATTATGAGTAATGGAAGCTTGACTAAATGAAATAGAAGGATTTTTCAAAAAAAAGAAATAAAAATGTAGATTCAGAAGGATATTTTGGGAAGACTGAATTAAATAATGGAATTGATTATAAAAAAAATAACAATCCTTATTTAGATGATTGTGTTGATAATTAAAATAAATAAAGGAAATCAGATAATGATATGAATTGGCATAATGCAAAGAAAGATAGAGAACCTAATGGTGAATTATAAGTAGTCTTAAATGGTAATGTTGTAACTATTTTGAAACAACAAATTAAGACAAACTAAAAAAGATAAAATAGAAAATATAGTGATTAAGAGACTTATGCAATGAGTAATAATATTTCTGGTCCAAAATTTAGTGATATTCCTTGTCCACAATTTCTAAATATCTGAGTATATTGAGTCATTAAAAAATATAGAAATATTTAATCTTAATCATAAACTATTGATAAGTTGCATCTTTATTATATAAAAAGTAATAATAATATCAAGTATTAATAATTATATTTCCTATAAAAATTTTGATGACATTAATTTAAATTAAAAATGCTTTAATTGAGTATACTATTTCTCATAAATATATGTTCAGCTAATTTAGAGATTTTAGAAATTAAGGAATCTTCTGAAACTTTTACAATTCATCTTGGAGAGCCAAATATTATTTATTAAATGCCATAGGCTGATGATGCTACATTATTGCCATTTTAATAGAATAGTTTCTGTTAAGTTACATAATAAACAGTTTAAACTGAAACATAACAATTTACAATAATATAATAGGATGACTTTAAAGAGTAAATTATGTGAATTCAATTTTAGTTATGAATTTGAATTGGATACCCCATTAAATTTTAGAGAATTTATTGGGATGGTACATATAAATGATGGAATGTTGGCAATAACTTCAGATGCAATTGCTTATTTAATAAAGTTTAATTATGACAATGTTCTATCAAAATAAGGATTTACAACTTATGGAAATTCTATTGATTTTGCAGGTGTTATTTGGAAGGCTAACCTTTAGCCAGTGATTCCTTCTATTTAATCAAGAGACGAATTACCATAATTAGTTTATTCAAAAAAAAATAATTTGGCCTTTGTATTATATTCAGATAGTGCATAATTTTTTAGTGTGTAAGAGATGGAGAAAAATGAGAAAAGTATGTACATTAATTAGATTTCTAATTGGATTCAAAGAGAGGAAAGAGGATTGACTAAAGAAATAGATGGATATTTATTTTCAGCAGTTGGCAGAGCAGGAATGGATATTTATGAAATATAAGAGAGTGATGTTATTTATAAGTAGACAATTACATTTTCAGATTTTAAATTGAAGAAAGAATAGTTGGAATTAAAAGATTTTGCAGTTTTCAAAGTAAAAGATGGATAATATTAATTATATTTACTTGATGTTAAATAAGGATTAATTTTAGCTTATATGTTTATTAATTAATAGGGATTTTAATTTGAAATAGTAATAAATGTAGAAAGTTAAAAAGGTGGAATAGCTGTAGATACAAAGAATGGTAAAAATGTATTTGCAGCTTTTGAATAAAATGGAATATATTTTTATATTGAATATTTAGTAAATTTTAATGAGAAATCTTATTCAATAATAACAAAATAAGAAAGTAATTATAGAATAGTTGATGTTGATGCTACAGATGAATTTGCTATTATAAGTGGTGTTAATCATCATTAAATTGTGTTTAATAATGGTTATGATTTTTTAGCACCACATAAAGAAAAGATTGTTTTTACATAGATAGGAATGAGAGATTTTCAATTTTTTTAGTTCACTTATGAAGAAGATCAATTAAAAGATGCTGTTAAAGATGAATATTAATATGATGATTTCTTTTTTGGTGTTACTGCAAATAATGCTTTTCTAACTAAATTTAAATTTGTTCCTGCAAGAGTAGTTTGTTTTGCTGATCATTGTAATTAATATATTTTTATTATTAGATAATAAGGCATAACTTAATTAATATTATACTTTATAATTCAATTAATCAGTTATTGAAAATAATGTAATGTCAACAAATAAAGTGATTCGAACAACAAAGAATTTCACTGTGCAAGTTGTAACAACATTTTTATTCTCCTAATAATGGAGATTAATTAGAATCTTACTTTTTGTATTAGGAGGAATAATATTAACATCCAGTATTTTTTATAATTATTATTAATTTTAGGTGGAATTGTAATTTATTAATTTAGAAAATATAGAATATAAGAGTCAAATTTAGATGAAGAAATTGATAAATACAAACAAAAATCATTTGATTAAAGTGTGTTAAAACTTAATGATTCTTCAATCATTATAAAACCATAAAAAGTAGAGTGATATACATAAATATTATGTTTATTAAGAAATTGAATTATATTCATTTAATATTTATATAAATATATAATTATCTTGTAAATAATGAATAAAAAAGTTAATATCTTCTATTCATTATAAAATATATTAAATTATCATATAATTTTTATTAATGTTTGTAATAAAATAGACAATAATATTAATAGGAAATTCTTAATATAATCTAATTTATTTTTAAGAAATAAATTATTATAATATATTTAAAATTAATTGAATAAAACAATAAAAAAAACATCATAATTCAGATTCAGCTTCATAATACTATTCCAAGATATTGAAACATTTCTAATATACATTTTAATTATGATGTTTTTATAATTCTTCAATTCTTCTAATTACTCCCATTTATTCAAGATTGGTTAAATAATAATTATCATCTTAAAAATCTTAATCACCTAAAGAATAATTAAATAAAATAATACCTCTTTTTAATACATTAAATAAAGCTTCAAGTACAACTGTCATAGTTTAAGTATCATCTCCTTCTAATAAATGTTTAAAAACATTAAATAATCCTTTTTATACCAAAAGTTAAATATCAGAGTTGCTTCCATTTTTTGTTGAATTGGCTATGGCCCAAGTTGATTCTCTAACTATTTCTTCAACATCAGTTGTCATAAGAGTAAACAACTTTTCAAGAATTGCACCATCTCTGACTACTTGAGAAACTTAATTGCTACTTCCAGCTGTTATATTAGAAATAGTCCAACAAGTCTATGATATAATTAAAATTTAATACTTCTCTTCTAATAGCTTTTTTTTCATGGGACAACAATTTAAGAATCTTATTTAACAATCCTTAATTGAGTACATAAGTAGTTTATTATTCATCACCAGTCACAACATTACCTAAAATTCTTAAGGTTGGTATGACTAATTAAAGAGAAGAATGATCTAATAATTTGATTAAGGTTGGCACTACTTAAGAATCAATAACAGTCTATAATCTACTATTATCTCCATCACTAAGATATGACATAGCCCAACATGCATCTGTCAATACTTCAGGATCAGTTTCATCAATAATAACTTTACAGAATACAGGCAATGCATTTTTTACATACTACAATTTTATTATATATATTTACTTTGAATTCTGGTATTGGTTTACCTCTACATAAATTACTTAATGACCATGTACAATGTTTGATAGTATTTTTGTTCTAAGCATTTTAAATAATTGTGATCAAAGGATCAACTCCTCCAACCCTTAAAATTAGATCTCTGTATTGTGTACAATCTCCAGCAATATTACCAATTGCCCAAACAGCTTATTCTGCTATGTCTCTATATTGAGAACTTAGCAATTTAACAAATAGGTATATTCCTCCTTTATCTATGATAGATTATGTTTATTATGTGGTTCCACTTGCAACATTTGTTAGTGCCCAAGCAGCTTCAAGTACTAATTAAGGAATTTATTCTTTTTAAATAATTTCTATTAACTTTGGTACTAGATTTGCATCTATTACTTATTATATTGGGGCTCCACTCTTAAAATATATTTAAAATATACTTCAACTGATAACATTTTTCTTAATCCAGTAACTCCATAATGAAGTTAAATGACATCTGTGGAATAGATTTTTTATAAAATGTCAGAGAAATCTTCAAAAGTAAATGTTCTTTTTGTTAAGACTTCTTATTAAGTTTTCAAAGCTTATTAAATATCAAAGGGTAGTGTTTATGGAATCAAAGATAATTATTCTTAAAATGAGGTATTTTAATTCTAAAAGGAATAAGTAAATTAACTACATTTTAAGCTAATCTTTTATTATTTATTATGGCATTTCTATCCTTGGATCTGATTTCTGTTGCAAAATCATCTCTTTTTTTCTTAATTTCACTGTTTTATTCTGGTTCATTAACTTGTGCATTACCAAATAATGCAAACTAATTTTATGACTACATAATAAAATATTTATGATAATTTACGCTTAATAAAAATTTATCAAATTTAAATAATTATGAATAACCGCAGTTAAAATAACCATTCCACCAATTAATAACATTTTCTTGGAGCACCATCAAATGAAATCCCTTCAAATTCAGTTGGTTAAGTAATTATTTAATAATATCCATAATTTAGTCTCAAAAAGTACAATAGTAGAATAAGGACGAATAGTCAAGAATTTCATAAAACTAGCATCCAAATAATTAAGAACATTCATAAAATAATCTTGATTAAATTCATTAACAACATGGTAAGCATGAAGGACAACATTATAATCCTTTGCAAATGCCTTGTAATTGGGATATAGCCAGAAAGCATGCTTTATCAAGAAAGACTACTCGAGAGAAGTAGAAAGATCCTACCAAAACACTAAGTGGTATATATACATATATTAATTGTTAAGTTGATACTTGTCCATGCTGTGGATTTGAAGTCGATAGAGAAGAAATTCCCTATTGTTCTAATCCTATGGCTTTATCTTTTCTTGGCTCAGGATTCACTTTGTTCTATAATTATCTTAAATATTGCATCCTCATCCTCTTCATTACATTGTTGACAAAACAACTCTACAATTTATATACTAATTATTAAGGCAATTATTGTAGTCAAACCAAGAGAGAAAAATTGGAAGGTCATATTGTAGAACTACCATTTTGCTCAGATTCCTGGTTTTTAAAGTTGTCATTAGCCAATAAATTAGAGTAAATAATAATACAAATTTAGTAATCGATAAGCCTTAGAACATGTTCAAATACTAAATTTTATTAATATTTTTATAGTAATGGGTGTCCTACTATATTTTAGAAAAAGTTAAAGGTAAATTGATACAGACATTGATGAAGAATTACTTACTCCAGCAGATTACACAGTCTGTGTAAAAAATATACCAATAGGTTTGGGACTTGATTATTAATGGGAATTGAAACATATGTTTGAAACATGTGCAGTTACTGGAGAATAAATTATTGTTAAGAAAGTTGTTCTTGTATATGATATTGAAGAGATAATAGATATAGAAAAATAATTAGATTTATTAATAGATAAAAAGAAAGAATTAATTTAAGAAAATAATTATAATTATCATCATCCAAGTGTTGAAGAGATAGATAAAAAGATAGAAGAAAAAGAACATGAAGTACATCATTTAGGATAAGAATATGAAAAAGAAAATAAAAAGTTTGCTGGAATAGCTTTTATTTCTTTTGATAATGAGGAAATGAAAACAAAAGTATTAAATGAAAATCCATATACATAATTAGAAAGAATGAGATCTTATTGGAATAAAGGTAAATTACCTGGAATAACAGAAAAAGATTTATCTTGGCATAATTAAAAATTATTTATTGAATAAGCTCCTGAACCAAATGAAGTAGATTGGGAATTTATACATGTTAAAACTGAAGAAAAGATTAGCAAAAGAATTAAAGCTTGGATCATTTATATTTTAGTAGAAAGTGCAGCATTTTACACAATCTATTTGATTGCTCATAGAGTTGCTAAATATGGTGATGAAGCTAGAGAAGAAGAAATCAAAGGTAAACTTGATCATGATACTATGTTAAAGATAAATATACTATCTTATGCTATCTCTTTAAGTATTGTACTATTCAATAAATTTGCTGTTGCAAAAATTGTTCATTATATTGTTGATGATGAAAAGATCTCTAGTAAAACTAAATTTTAAATATCTTTTGTATATAAATATGCCTCAGCATTGTTTTTAAATGCAGCTATAATCAGCTTTCTAGTAGATATTGTTATTTTAAAGAATGTTGAAGGTGCAGGAGGATTCTTATAAAATGAAAGTCAAATATTTATACTTAATGCTCTTTTACCTCCATTTATTTGGTGTCTTGATCCATGGAGTCTTTGTAAAAATATATGGAGATGGTATATTATCAGAAAAGGAGAAAAAGCTTTGTTAACATAATAAGAGGCTAATAAATTAATGGAAGAACCTGATTACTTATCTGCAAAAAGATATTCAGATATAATGAAAACTATGTGGTTTACTTTTCTCTATGGTACAGCTATACCTTTAGGTACTTTGTTTAGTGCTTTTGGTATTCTTATTTACTATTATGTTGACTATTACAATATCTTAAGAAGAAGAACAGTTAAAGAATCAATAAGCATTTAATTATCAACAGGTAATAGATTTAATTAAATGATTATTAGAAATGATAGAGATGTTAGAATATATAATTGTTTGGAGTGCCTTTGGGGAAATGATTATGACTTATGCATTTTTCAAAGAAATTAGTTTGATAGATGTTGCACTTATGGTAATTGCAATCATCTATGCATCATTACCTATGGAAGATATATCTGAAAAACTATTTCCAGTGGTTAATAATGAATAAGTATAAAATTCATTGTGTTCATTAGTGTAAACCCTATGACGAAGGAAGTTAGGGATTTGATACTGATTATGATAGAGAAAATCCAATAACTAGAAATAAGGCTATTGAAGAATGGAATAAAAAGTAATAAGTACTTTTGAATTCGAATAACAAGATTCAGAAATTTTATTAATAGAAAGATTAATATGGTTATCATAATGATGATCATTTTGGAAGGAAGTGAATTTTGAATAAAAATTATTATCAATTTTAAATATATATACAAGAAATGAAAAGGATGTAAAGCAAAGAAGATATAATCAAAGATTAATATATGAAAACTCTTACTTGCTTTTTACAAGATAGCACTCTTTATGATAGCTTATCCATTAATAATTAAGTGACTGTAATTGATTAATCATTCTCTTTGTTTGATGTTTTTAATGTGTTTATTGATACGCATATTGATGAAGTATTGTTTTGGAATCCAGATGTAGCTTATTATGATGGAGTATTCACTTAAACAGATTTGATACGAATAATCCTTAAATGCTATTAAAATATTCTGAATGGTGTTCCTAATGGTAATCTATTTTGTATATTTTAGTCAGTGTGGGGAAATAGTAAAATATAGGTTCAGCCAATTATGGAAGAGGAAGATGAAGATCGTAATACTCCTGTGAATGAAAAACAATTAATAGGGTAGGAACAGATAAATAAATTGCTGATTGATTTAAAGACAATCTCAGTAAGAGACTGGTTCAATTCTTATGGAGAAAGTCTTCATTAAAGTAGTCTAGTTTAAGCAGATATGGCTGATAATCTAAATGATGCAATGAAGAAGATATTAAAGTAGGGTGTAACAAGAATTGTAGTTATTGATACTGAATCTAGAATTATTGTGGGCATCTTATAATAAAAGGATATATTAGCATTTCTTGTAAAAGGGTTTAGTTAATATTTCCATTTATAATTATCATAAAAATCACATAGAATTGAAGTTCATCATGAAAATAATCAATAATCAGAATAGCATGAACTAGAAATCAATTACTTTAGTGATAGAATTTTATAATTGAATGATAAACTTCCTTTTGACACTAATGTATATGAGTAATTATATCTTTATATTTTTTAGTGTATTCTATAAATTGATCTATGTATTTAAACGTAATGCTATTCCAATTGTTGATAATAATAATAAGTATTTAGGATTGATAGACAGAAGAGACTTTTTATTTATTCTCAAATATTAAGTATATGATATGGTATAATTTAATAATATGAATAGTTGAATAGACCTGCTGTAGATTTATTAAATTTTATTAAAATTGAGAAAAAAAAGTTTGCAGGTTTTTGTATATGCAATAAAGAACTATTCCACATGAAACAAACATTAAAAGAAGTATTAATACATTATAATTAGGTTGTTGAAAATCTATTACTCTCTTCTAGAGGTAGTTTAGTTTGCTTGAATGAAAATTAAGAGCCAATTGCTACATTATAAATGTCTGATCTCTTCAAAATTTGTTTAGATGATATCGAATTAGAATGAATTTATATTATAATAAATATGTGTATATATTTAAATGAATAATTATAGATTTTCATAAACAACCACAATTCCTGTGTACAACACTATAACTAAAGAGCAAGCATAAATCAAAATTACACCTAATTTTAAGTAGTTCTTGAACAATTTGAATGAAAAATTTCAATTACCTTAAAAATTTACGATGTGTTATTGTTTAAACATTAAAGATAGAGTCATCTATTTAGCTTGTCCAATAGATTATAACTTATTTATAGAAAGATTACAGTACCTTAAAAATATGTATATTTAATCTTATCCATAATATTAGTAACTTCCCTATTCTTTAAATCATTCAATTAAGACAAGAATAATTTGTATCTAAAGAAATGATTAAGGATGTTGAAGAATGGCAAGAGAGATTATCAGAAGGTTATTCCTAAATAAACTCTTAGTAGTAAGAAATCTAATAGTTGGATGAACAATTTTAGCATCTTTCAATATCTTAAATCCATATAAATGAATAGGTTGACTATCATAAATGTTAATTTTGTTATTAGAATTTGGAAAATAGTAAATATTTTAGATGCATTGTTTGTTATTATTTTCAAATTTGTGATATGTGTAATACACATAAGAGAGAAAAAGATCATTCTATTAGTCATATCTTTATTTAATGTAATCATGTAACAGATTGGAATAAACTTAAATAAGATTCAAAAATGAAAATTATGAAATAAAAATCTAATATGATGAAGAGATTTAAGATACACAAAGCAAATATACATGAATTAATATGTTGTGATTTTTGTAATAGTTCACCTGTTTAAGGTATTCGTTATTAATGTTGTGAATGTCCAGATTTTGATTTATGTAAAGCCTGCATCAAAAAATTCAAACATGATCCTACTCACAATTTTATTTAATTAACATCAAACATTGAGTTTTTAATATTTACATGATATAATTATATAATTATATATGAGTTAAAAATTCGAATAAATTGCAAGACTTACAAAAAGCACTGCTAACTTTAAAGCAACATATGTTCCATTAACTTTAATTGGTACATCATTGATTTCATTTATTGCTTGGTCTAAATTACCTTATGGATAAGCATTTCCTCACTTAACAATTTCAGAATATGTACCTAAGAAATCATACTTTCATTCCTTAATTTTGGCTCCTTTAAATTTCTAAACAAATGTATTTCAATAATCAATTTGTTAGGGATAATTATTAGTTTATGGCCCAGCTATGTTATATACATTTTATTAAATGAGTACAATACTTTGTAATACTTAATTTTTAACTTTTTATCTTATTAACTCTCTTATTTGTTCCTCATTTACAGTTTATTATGAAAAAAAAAGAAGTGCTGAATATGGTATTAATTTAATGTCTCCAAAATGTGTTTCTGCAATAACTCCTTTAAGTTTTATGACATCTTTAATGGTTTTAAAACCTCACTTAAAATTATTAAATAAAGTATATTCAATTATTATCATAGCCACCCCTTCCATTCTTTTTAGTTCCTACTATGTATGGCATGTATGAAATGTAAGAATATTAAAATGGATTTATTAATGAAGTATGTAGACCAACTCACATTTTGGCTATGATTAATGGATTAATATTGGGAATCATATTTAAAAGATTCATTTGAAATCTATCTTTTATTTATAAAAAAGTCATTCATTTTGTAAATATCATTATACATTTTTTTTAGATATATATTATACTATATATATAATTAATATAATATTTAGATCTAATAGAACAACCATATATATATTATTTAATTTATTATTATTGTACTAAATAATCATTATGATCATGATCTATATAGATTTGGTCTTTTGGCTTTGAATACGGTTCTGAATTTTTTATGGCTAGCTCTAGGAACTGTCTTAACAATTGGGAATCTAATTGAATCTCCCTAAATAAAATTATGATTAAATTTACTCTGTATTAATTAGTCTTTCCTCTCTTGATATCAGCACTCTTAGTTAAAACTGAAGTTCTGAGAATGTGTATAGTTTATGGTTAAGCTCTGTGATTACCAGCCATTTCTTAATCTAAGAAGTCAAAATTTTTTAATACATAATTATGAGACAGCACCATTCAATGTAGTGTCTCTAAATTCCTTATACATATTGTGAATTGTTGTTCTGGATTAATATTTAAGAACAATTCCATAGGTTTTGACATTTGTGTCTCTTCTTTCAAATAATTCTTGAACTGCTAAAATCTAACCATGAGAAGGTTTAAGTTTATTTAATCTTCTTAAATTCCACCTATAATATTGCATTATCTAAATACCAGAATCTGCTCTTTGCAGCAACTGTATTTCTTGCAAAAATTCTCATGCTTATAACTTTGGGATTTGGATCTTCTTTTGATGGAAGTCTTCTACCTGAGACCAAGTATTGTCTAATCTAAAGATAATATTCTTCTTATGTACTTTCATTTATAAGGAATTATCTTATGGGTCTTATGCTGAGTTTTTAACCATTTTTTATTTTAAAAAAAGATTTAATTTATAATGCAATTATATATAACAAACAATAGAATCCCATATTATCATTTAGTAATGGATATCCATTCTTAAAATTCTATTTTATACTTTTCAATTATATTGATTCAATATGATTTACTCACTTTTTTGTTTATTGATTTCAACTTAAATGTATTATATATATATTTATGAAGTATTTTAGAGTGATCTACAACTCTTTCTATTTTCAAAAAAAATGTGTACAAACAACAAATTCTGATGTTGAAATGTCAAACATTATTGATAATGCTACTTAAAAATTATTTATTAATAATAATTAAGAATGGGATAAATCATAAATAGTATTCAAAAGAAACCTAGTAATAATTTAACAATGCAAAATGAATATTAGCCAGAATTCATTAATTTTAGACATGCAATTTCTATATTATCATATAATATATTAGCCGCTATCTATTGCGAATAGTCATAATTTGGTTATGCTCATAATTAATATTTGAAGTTTACTAATAGAAGTACTAAAATTATAGAATAATTGAAAATTTTCAATGTTGACATATTTTGCCTATAAGAGGTGGATAACATAGAATTTTATCAAGAACACATAAAAAAACTAAATTATGAATTCTGTTATGTTTAGAGACCTTAAAGACCTGATGGATGTTTAATTGCTTTCAAAATTGAAAAATTCAAGCTGTTGAAATATTCAGAGTATTCTCTTGATAAGATGGCCTTAAATTATGGACTGCCTCTTTAATATCAAAGGTAGAATGTGTTTTAAATTGTCAGATTGGAGCATATGTATGTATTTTTTAAGATATAATAAGACTAACAAAAAAACAGCTAGTAATTGGAAACATACATACATTCTGGAATCCAAATTAAGATGACTTAAAATTCTTTTAGATAGTCTAATTTGTTTAAAAGATGGAAGCTGAAAAAGAATCTGATGATCAAATACTTATATTTTGTGGAGATTTAAATAGTCTCCCTCATTCTAATCCAATACAATATATTTAAAAAAACAAACCAATAGTTGAAAGAATAGAAAAATCTTCAAATTAAATTAAGATATAAAAGGAGATATTCGAACACTATGGTCCTCCAAAATTGAATTGGCAAAGTGCTTATCATCCATTCCCTAAATTTACTAATTATACAAAAGATGTAAATTTAAATAAAATAATTAAAATAGTTTAAAGGTTGTATTGATTACATTTTCTATCATAATGCAAATGTGGAAAAGATTTTAAGATTACCAGAAGAAAGTTTGTTATAACAAGAAGTAGCTTTACCTAATAGGAATTTTCCAAGTGATCATTTACCTATTTTAGCATATTTTGATTTTCACTATTGACTAATATAAATTATGATTATTAAATTGAATATACTCATTTCTTTGTATAATTTATTGTCTCAAGAACAAGCAATAATTAATCTATTGTATGATTAACAGTTTATCCCACTTTTTTAACATCATTACTATTAAATGTTAATACCAATTAATTTTCTAATGTATACATTAAATTTACCATTGCTATCCATTTTCAATATTCCATCTACATTATCTACTGATAATACTTATTCAATCAATTCTGAATTATTTTACTCAAATTGTATTTTGACTTCATAGTTTTTTTCTTCTCCTTAAATTTCTTATTGCATATAATTAATTTTTGCTTATAAATTAATTATTCAATAATTTATATTATTTAGATATTCTCTATAAAAATATTTGACCTTATACTCAATCTTTTTAGAATAATCTACTTATTATAAATTATATTGCTTTAATTTAAAAGTTTTGACATTACATATATGTCCAAACTAAAATATTGAGTACGTTAAATCAAAGAATATTTAAGTTTCCTTTGGATTATGTATTCATTAAGAATAAATAAATATTTACTAAGCTTTTAATGTTGAAAATGACTAAAATAATTCTTTATTTTTTATAATAATGTTTGAATTAAATTTAGCACAAAATCTACCATTGTTTTCAAAAAGATTTGAGAACTTGCTGACTACATTTGTTTTAGTTGTTTCTTTATAAATATTTATAATGATATTCTCTATGATGTTGATCTTAGACTTAAAAATAAATTATTAATCTCATTATGAAAAATTCACAGAGATGTTTAAACTATCAGAACGAAGTTTATAATAAATTAGAAATAACTTCGTCATAAGTTTTAAAAGGGAAAATACATGAGAAGGATGAATAGGTCAATTATTTCGAAATACATTTAGATAAATGATTAGTAAAGTTCTTGTACATAATCGTTTAAGATTTAAGAGATAAATCTGTAATTACTAATCGACAAATCATAAGAGATCATGTAATAATAGGAGCAATTATAATTGTAATCTCCAGCAAGTAGAAAAAGATCAAGTTCGTTTGAAGACTTATAATAGAAATTAAATGATTATATTGAGCAATATATTTAAGACATTAAAGAGCCGTAACATTTTTTAGATACTTATTCGTTATAAAATTCTGAAATTTGCGATGATGAATTTTCATAACAATCTATCGATTTATGCTAAAGAATATATTAAGTAGATATATATTAATTCATTTTTAGAGAATAATAGCTCAATTAAATCTATCAGTTATATAATCTAATTCGATTGATTAGTCAACTACCGTTTCCTCCCCAAAAAATAATGATTCAATTTAGATAATGAATTACATGACTACCTCTACTCCTCTAACTCCTGTATAATTGGAAGATATACCTAAAAAAAATATTTCAAATTCAGCAAGTTAAGATTAACTAGGATTAAAAAATAGTTCGTATTCTATGAAGTCTTGAATAAAATATTATTAAACTAAATGTTTCATTATTTTTTTGTTTTTAAACATTAAAGTCTTTCTATTATTAACATTCAATAGTATCTATACTATACAACTCAACTTGTAAATTAAATTTAGCAAGAATAATTATTAAATGTTGTCAGAAACAGTTATTTAATAATCTCCAACAAAGAAAATTATAAAAAGAATACAAGGTTTTTAAAAAAAAGGAATTTTAACTTCTTAATAAGAGGAATTAAATAATTTCTAAGATGAACATAAACAAACTTTAGAAGATAGACTAAAAATGTAAAATTATTTAAAAGAAGCCAAAGAAGAAATTATGAAAATTGCTAATCAAAATAATAATTACATGATCTTCTCATCTTATGAAGAGATGTCTAAACATAGAGAAACAAGAAGAAATGAAGAATAATAAATGATTTTTAAACCTTTATAATTTCCAACCAGAAGTGGATCTGTAATTAGATGTAAAAAAATATAGTAAAATACTACACCTGAAGAAATGAATGCTAATTATGGTATATTAACTTTAGAGTAGAAACTTAAAGCAAATAAAGCTTATTCTGATAGATAAGAAACTAATTCCCCTAATAAATTTGATTTTACTGAAAAATTTCATCATATAGAAGGCAAAATAGCTAAGTAAAATAGAATAGAAGTAATTAAAGAATATAGTAAGATTTATAAAAGAGTATAAATAAAGGCATCTCCTAAATAATTAGATGAATCTTAATATACTTCAAAATACAGATAAGCAGTTTAAAAAGTCTAAGTTATAAACCATAGAAAAAGTGGTAAAAATATACTACCAGTTTTATCAATTGAAAAAAAAGAATCAGTTGAATCTGTTCTTTCAGATCTCAATTATAGTAGATGGTCATTAGAATAAGATGTTAGTTATCAGCATATTCCAGATTAAAAAATAAGATTATAATAAAGATTGGGTGGTGGGTTTACTAAAATAAATAGAGAAAAATATTTAGAATACTATACTTCATGAATTTTTGGATATTATCTTATCATATCTTAATTAATATAGTTAATTTAATTATATTTAAATGAATTTAATTAAGATCTAAACACATATATCATCTTTTTAAATACTATATTGTGCACACTTTCACAAAATAAAATTGATAATGATATCCAATAAATGAATTAATTGTCTTCTATAATTTATTTATCTTTATTTTGTTTATAAATTTGTTTATATTATATAAATGCATAAATTTCAAATATTCTTGAAGATTCATTAAATAAATTGGGATCTCTATTTTAAGTAATTTTATAAGGAAGATAAAAAATTAAAAGTTTTTTAAACATATTATAAATATATATATTATTTAATAATTATTTTTAAGGTAATTTTAAATCCGTTTTTATTAATATTAATTTAATGAAATTCACAATTTGCTTCTTATTGGGATTAGTAACACTCAATGCAGTATTTGTTAAAAAGCCATCTGATCCAAATGCAGGAGTCTTTGCTGAATTAGAAGAGGTAATTCATTTTATTTAGGTTAATAGATTGAAGAACACGCATTAGGAAGAAAATTACTTGATACAATTGCTCTTTAAATGAAAAACTAAGCTCCATTGGCTGATATTGCTAGAATGCTTTAAGAATTGAGAGAAAACTTATTGTTACAATAATAATAAGCTGAATTAAAACATGCCGCTGATGAAGCTGATTGTGCTGCTGAAATAGCTGGTTACAATAGAAGAATTGATTATGCTTCCAATGAAATCAGTGAATCAACAACTGAAATCACAGCCTTATCTGCTTAAGTCTAATAATTAGAAAGTGAAATTGAAAACATCCAAGTTCAATTAGGAATTCTTAATGATTAAGAAGAAACTTTGAGAACTCAAAGAGCAAAGGATGCTGAAGCTTTTGCTTAAAGAATTAAGTCTACAGCTGATGTTGTTGAAGCTTTGAATGTTGTTGCTGCCAAATTATCAGCTATTCAACCAGAATAAGATCCAAAGGCTGTCTTCTTAGAATTACACAATATGGGTAAGAGTAACCCAATTGCTGCATTGGTTTCAATTGCCTCTGCCTTCTCAAAGGAAAGATTATAATAAACATAAGACAAGATTGCTGAACTCAGATAATCAATTGAATAATCAGCTGTTGATGACTAAGAAGCTGAAGTCTAAGCTTAAATTGATTATTAAAATATGTTGGCTTAATTTGCTGATCAAAGAAAGAACTTGTAAGTCTATTTGTTATAATTTTAGCTAAAATGCTTTGAAAGATAACGAAGCCAAATTAACCTAAACTGAAAATGCTTTAGGAGCATAAAAGAAGAGAAAGGAAGATGCTGGTAGAGAATTAGCCACCGCCACTGCTGGAAAGACTTAAAAGGAGAATGATTGTGAAGCTCTCAGAACCTAATATGCTAGAGATAGTGAATAAAGAACCAAGGAAATTGGAATCATCAGATAAGTTGAAGAAATCTTGGCTACTAAATTAGAAGGTGCTTCAGGATACTTAAAGAGCAGAATTAATTGATATATTTTTATTCATTCAAATAATTCTAAGAATTTAACAGTTCATAAAAATTATAATTAAATGGATTAATAATCTTTTAAAGAAGGATAATATTATGAGATTATTGATTAATTCATATTTTCATTAATAATTGTGTATATCTAATATATTATATATATATATATATAATTTATATTTCTTATCACAATTATTATGAACTATAAAGATTAATTATATTACATCTTAAATAGTAAATCTAATATTTAATTTTTATTACAAAATGTCAGAAACACAAAATCAACAAGAGAATAATCAAAATGAGTAATAATAAGAAAATCCATAATAAAATACAAATGGGGAATAAACTTAATAAAATCAACAAAGTTAAGAGAATCAAAATGAAAAAAAAGAGTAATAACAAGAATAATAAAAAGGAGAGTAATCATAATAAAATGAATCAGGGTTAATGGAGTAGAAAAAAGAGAAAGGTTATATTTTTATGTTATTGAATATTAGGTCCTTATGATATCGATGAAGCTGATTTAACACCAAGATTTGTGAGGGCAATGTAAGTGTTAGGGTATACATATTAAGATTTACAAAGAAAATAGAGAAAAGATGTCATTTAAATCATAAAAACAAAAGGTATATATTAATTTATATATATAGATCCATTGGGAAATAAAATAAATTAAGAATTAATAGATGCTTTATCTAATCATTTGGAACATTCAAGAAAATAAAAAATAAATGAAATCAGAAAAGAAATATAATATATACCTATTCAAGAATAAAAATAATAGTAGTCAGTAGCAGACTAATCTATTATGTAGTCTTCTATAGCAGAGAAGTCTATAATTTTAGATAAATCAATTGTATCTATGAGTAAATCAATATTGACAAAATCATTGTCACCTTTAGAATTAGAATTTAAGTTGTATGATAAAATAAAGAAGAAAGAGAGAGCAGAAATCCATAAAGCTAAGAAAGAGGAGGAATTATTATCAAAATAAATTGAATATTAACATAAGCAATAGGAATTGGAAGAGAGATTAGAAAAACATAGATAATAAAAGATAAAATAAAAACATATGCAAACTCTATAATAGTAGGAGATTTAGAAATGGTTACACAATAGATCAGATGCTGAATCATCTAATTTTAATTAAGCTAAATAAATTGTAGAAAATTTGAAAAATGAAATAAAGGAAACCCAATAATAAAGAAATTATTTAAATCCTAGAGAGAAAATAGAGAAAGTTAAAAGTATGAATGATTTAAGAATCAAAGAATTAGAAGATTTATAAGCTAAAAGAGAATAAAATATGATGGAAAGACTTGAAAAATTATAAGAATTATCATAAAAAGTAGATAATGAAAAATACATGAAAACATTTTAAGAATTATAAAGAGAATTAAAAGGATTATTAAAATTAGAAAAAGTATAGATTCGATAAGAAATGTTAGATGAATATCATAATTATATGAAATAATAACATTAAACAGAAGAATAAAGAAGAATAATTTAAGTGATAAAAAATAAAGTAATTATTTATTAAACTTTAGACTCGTAAAGAAGTTTAATAAGAGATGTATAAATAATCTTTAGAAATTAAGTCATAATAACTTGATAAAAAATTAGAAAAATTTAAGTAATTATAAACAGAAAGTTTGAAAGTGAAATCATCTTCAGCAGTTTCATTTCCTAAACATGTATCTTCTAATAATTTTGGATAAATGAAAGTGGAATATGAAAGAAGAATAGGATTTTAAGAAGATCTAATTAGAGAAATTGAAAGAACTGAAAATATTTAAAAAAGATAAAGAAAAGAAGAATAAATGAAATAAGATATATAAATAATGAAAGAAGCTAAAAAAGCAGAAAGTAGAGAATTAGAAATATCAAAAATATCTTCAATTGTTAAAGATATGAAATAATTTGAAAATAGTAATATGGCTAGTACTAAAAGATAATTGGCTTAAATCAAAAATTAACATAATGAACGTGAATAATGTATTTATTTATTTACAATAAATTTAGAAATTATAAAGGAAATAGAAGAAAGAAAGAAGAAGGATGAAGAATAAAGATAAAAATAAGAAAAATTAGATTTTGAGAAAAAGAAAGAAAGATTAAGAAAGAATATTGATTAATATAAGGAGCAAATCTAAAGTGAAGAAAAAAAGAAATAATAAGAATAAGAATAATAGGAATCATAATGAAATGTTATAATTATAGAGAATTTAAATAAGTAAAGCACTAATTCACTATTATCAACATTATAATAATTGAAATTCTCTATTTTTGATTTTAATGATATTATTCAACATTATCATTGTTCGACATCATACATTTAATCTATTTGAAGATTATATTGTTAGTCTAAAGAACAAATGATTATTTAATTTTAATTAAATGAAAGATTGTAACATAAGCTTCTAAAATAAACCAGCATTAGTTATTTCTAGAATATACAAATCAAACAATAGATTTCACTTAC